GGGGGAGCCACACCCAGTGGTGCTCAGGAGCTGTCCTGAAATTCAGTGCTGTGGGACCTAGGCATTGCTGGGGGCTGAAACCAAGCCTCCTGTGTGCAAAGCCAGCACCTAGAGCTGAAGAGGTTATATAGTGGGGAGGGCATTTGTCTCTGCAGGTGGCTCACCTGGCTTTGACTTCTGGCACCACATAGGGCCCCCTGAGCACTGCCAGCAGTGACCCAGGAGCACAGAGCTAGAAGTAAGCTCTCAGCACAGTGACCCAAAAACCAACAAAAAAGAAGAGAAAAAACCATGCGCCCTATCCCATGGAGCTATTTCCCTGTCTCATGATTTCCTTCTTCTTGTTTTGTTTTGGGACACACCTTCTGAGGCTCAGGGTGCACTCCTGGCTGTATACACAGTAATTATTCCTGATGGTACTTAGAGGACACTGTGGGATGCCAGTGGTTGAACCCTGGTCCGTTGTGTGCAAGGCAACAACCTACTATCTGCTACCCTACCATAGTACTGTCTCTCTAGCCCCTGTGTATGGCTTTTATTCCCTATAACTGTAAATTCCTTTGTTGCCCAGTTTTATTAAAATATGATTGAGAAATATTTAGGAGAGGCAGTGTGATAATTCATACATGCACTGTGCACTTAGTAACTTGTTTTCCGTGTGTGTGTGTGTGTGTGGGGGGGGGGTTGAAGATGGGAGATGTGTCATCCTCTCAGATTCCAAGTACATAGTGGATTGTTACTAACTATAGTCTCACAGCACGTCAGATCCCCTGAGTTTATTCATCTGACAGCGGAGAGTTGGACCCTTTGGCTGGCATCTCATTCTCTTAGCCTCCAGTGCCCGGCAAGCACTGTTCCACTTTCTGGTTCTGTGAGTCAGATGTTTCCTAGTCCACATAGAGCTGAGATCTTACACTATTGGGTTTTTTTGATATGTTAGATATCCTGCTAACATATCTCACTTAGCAGGATAGACTATAGACTCATTCTTACCAAACTGGCACAAGTTCCATCTTTTTAATTATTTTTTTTTAAATCTATTTATTTTGGTTTTAGGGCCACACCCAGCAATGCTCAGGGATTATTCCTGGCTCTGTGGTTAGGAATTAACTCCTGGCAGTGCTCAGGGGACCAGATGAGATGCCATGATAGAACCCAGGTCGGCCGCATGCAAGACAAATGCCCTATCCACTGTAATATTGTACCAGCCCCTCCTTTTAGTTTTTAATAATAAGCAAAACATCTGAATGAACCGTGGCAATAGAGAAATCATGCTACATTTGTTCTATCCACTTGTCCACAGGCATTTAGATTATTTCCATATTGTGGCTATTGTGAATAATACAGCAGAGACCTTAAAACTCATCTGCCAGGGCTGGAGTGATAGTACAGCGGGGAGGGCGTTTGCCTGGCACGCACCTGATCCGGGTTCGCTTCCCAGCATCTCATATGGTCCCCTGAGCACCGCCAGGAGTAATTCCTGAATGCAAAGCCAAGAGTAACCCCAGTGCATTGCCGGATGTGACCCAAAAAGCTGAGAGAAAACAAACAAACAAAAAAACACCCTCATCTGCCTCTCTGAGGTGCGGAGTTCAAGCTTCTGTGTATGTGTCCGGAAGTAGGGTTGCTGGATTACCTGAGAGTTCTGTTTCCATGTTTTAGGGATCCCAGATACTATTTTCCTTAGTGGAAGTGCCCATTTCCATCCTGCCCAAGGTGACTGGGCTCCCTCTCCCCCACCCCCACCCCAGTTCCTGTCATCTCTCTTCTTCTTATAACAACTCTCCGGACACGTGCAGGTGAGAGCTCATAGGGGGGTTGGGTCTGAATTTCCCTGTGGATCAACATTGTTGAACTCTGGATCATGTATCCCTTAGACATTTGTGTACCTTATTGGAAAAGATATTCCGACCCTTTGCCAGCTTTTAACCAGGCTATTAGTATTGTTATTTTCTTTGGAGTGGGAGGGCGGCAGGGGTGCACCTGGTGATGCTCAGGGCTTACTTCCAGCTCTGTGCTTGGGGATTTCTCCTTATTGGACCCTGCGACCTTGCAGTGCTGGGATCGAACCTGGACCTTCATCATGCAAAGCGTGTGCTCCAGGCCCTGGAGCTAAGAGTCTTTCTCTCCCTCTCCCTCCCTCCCTCCCTTCCTCCTTCCCTCTCTCTTTCTCTTCCCACCTCCCTCTTTCCTCTCCCTCCCTCCCTCTCTCACCCTTCTCTCTCTCTCACCCTCTCTCTCCCTCTCTTACTCTCTTTTTCTTCTCTTACTCTCTCCCCCTCTCTCTTACTCTTTCTCTCCCTCTCTTCCCCTCTCCCTCTCTCTCCCTGCCTCCATTTCTCCCTCTCTTCCCTCCCCCCCCCATCTCTCTTTCTTTCTGGTCTCCTCACTTATTTTGCTGCTGGCTTGTATGAGTTCATTGTGAACTCCTAAATAGCAGGGGGGATTCCAGTAAGTCTCCAAGTGAAGGCAGTGCCTTGGTTTTGCCATAATGTAAACCATTATCTCTGATTCTGAGATTCGAGATGACATTTAAAGGAGATAAGGACTTAGAGGCAAGCCCTTTTAAGGACTCAGAAACAAGCTTTGAAAGACATTCTTAAAAGTTGAACTGGGAGATAGAAATCATGGACGCAGCCTGCTTGACCAATATGACTTGTTCTGGCTGTGAGAAGAACATTTTCCCACTCAAGTAAGCTCAGAGAGGAATTGATACTACGATCATAAGGAAATAAAATTCAGAACATTGACTATGTTAATGTTTAGAAAGCTAAACCACTTTTGCTCACTAACATTCTTGTATCTCCAAAGTTGGCCAAGTCTTCAAAAAAGAAAAAAAAATAAGCTGTCATTTGAATGAAAGGCGCTAATACCATTTCCAGTCAAATATCCCTACTTTAGAGGTGGAAGGACTGATGTTTCTGTCTTCCCGCGTCATTCTAAATTTGTGCATTATATCTGAATTATAGTTTTTAGCTGTGGCATGAGTGCAGGCTCAGCCTCTTGTCTGAAAGCCCATATGATTTCCCTCTGGCTCTCCCCGCTGTTTTCTCACATGAATCCAATGCGGAGTCAGAAGGCTCCTCCCCAGACTTCTGCTACATTCAAATTGGTTCACCTTTTTTTTTTTTATGGGCCACACCTGGAAGTGCTCAGGGATTACTCCTGGTGATGCTTAGGGGGTCATTCGTGGTGCTGGAGATTGAACCCAGTTTGGCCGTATGCAAGGCCAGGGCCCTTACCCATACTGTCTCTGGCCTAATAGCAAGATTTTGGAAATTTTGAGCTCTGACAGGGATGGAGAGGCATCCAGTGAACTGAGCACAGGCTTTGCATGTGAAGGCTTGGGTGTCCATCCCTGGCACCACATGGTCCCCTGAGCACTTCTGGGAGCCCCCTGAGCACTGATACAGGAATAGTCTCAAATCCCGCCCAAATAACAGTCATAAAGCAAAACTGATGTGTGGGGTGGGGCGGGGGGAGAAATCCCATAGATTGGAATATGAAACTGAGTTTTGAGGGACTGTCATGTTTGAAAAATCAGTGTTTGTAAAATTTTTACATAGGGTGACTTAATGCTCGTTCTAATCTACGGGTGTTGACCTTTTTGTTAAATTACGCAGAAGAAAATAGATTTGGTTTGGCTCCCTTTTTAGTAAGGGGAGAGAACTGGTTTGGTTGTGCTTGCGTTGCTCACGAACGAAAATATGTGGTTGGAACATTGGGTTTGTGTTGGGTCCTGGGAAGTCGAATGTCCTCAGGGTCTGTGAGGGGCTTTCCCGGGTGGAGCCTTGGCGGTGGGAGTTGGCTATCTCTGCTCACATTCAGCTTGGACCCCCCCAAAGTGTGGTAGTCCCAGCCTACCTTCTCTCCGACTTGTGTTTTCTTCCTCTGTAACCGGGGACGGGAACATTAAACCTGTCTCACAGGGCAGTGATGACAGTGGACAGAGGAAAGACCTATCCGTCCTTGAGCAACATGTGGACCATGCGCCAAGTGCTCATTAAAGGGAGTGGCTAGTCTTTATGCACGTGGTTTAATATGGTCGAGATAGTCAAGAGAAGCACCTGCGTGCAGTGACAAGGGTATAATGAGTTGTTCTGGACTAATGGGTCATTTACCAGACTGAAATCAGTTCTTTTCATTAGATAGTGCTGGAGCGATAGCGGAGCGGTAGGGCATTTGCCTTGCACGCGGCCAGCTGGACCAACCCGGGTTCGATTCCTCTGCCCCTCTTGGAGAACCCGGCAAGCTACCAAGAGTATCTCGCCCATACGCCAAAGCCTGGCAAGCTCCCCATGACGTATTCGATATGCCAAACACATTAACAACAAGTCTCACAATGGAGACGTTACTGGGCCCGCTCGAGCAAATCGATGAACGACGGGAGGACGGTGCTACAGTGCTACAGTCCCAGTTCCAAACCTGGCTCTACAAATGGCAGGAAATGGAAATGAATGGGCTGACATACGGACACTTGAACTGAAATTTTTAAATTTTTACTTTTTGCTTTTTTTCGGTCATACCCAGCGATGCTCAGGGCTTACTCCTGACTCTGCACTCAGGAATTACTCCTGGTGGTGCTTGGGGGACCAGATGGGATTCCGGGGATTGAACCTAGGTCGGCCACGTGCAAGGAAAACGTTCTACCTGCTGTATTATTGCTCCAGCCCTGAATTGAAATTTTTTATTTCTAGAACTAGACCCTTGCTCCGACGTTGGTGTTTTAGAATTTTTTAATTTAATTTGTTTTTTGGGGGACTTTACCCAGTCATACTCAGGGGTTACTCCTGGTTCTGCACTTAAAAATTACTCCTGATGTTGCTCTCAGGATCATATGTGATATGCCGGGGATTGAGCCTGGGTGAGCTGTGTGCAAGACAGATATCCTCCCCACTGTACTATCTCTCCTGGTATTGGTGTTTTGATGGCTAAAGAGCATGTCAGTGTATTAGAGGAGTGACGTTTTCATAACTTTCAATGTTCCTTTTCCATTGCAGGCGACGATTAGCAAGGTAAAAGTGACAGAACCATGGCTCAGTTCCCAGCACCTTTTGGAGGTAAGCTTGCAGAGACTTTCCTCTTTTTAAAATATCATTTAACAATTCTTTGAATTATAGCACAATACATTTCAATAATACACAAAAGTAGAGTGGAGAAGATAACCAGCCTTTCCTTGATATGTCCAGCTGATAAATTACCAGTTCATGGCCAATGACTGTGTGAACTGAGTATTTTTCTGCAGCAACTCTACTTTTTTTCCTTTTGGGCCACACCAGTGATGCTCAGGGCATATTCCTGACTCTGAGCTCAGGAGTCACTCCTGGTGGTGCTCAGGGGATCACACGGGGTGCCGGAGATCAAACCCGGTTGGCTGCCTGTAAGGCAAGCACCCTACCTGCTGCACTATCTCCCTGACCCCATATCACATCATTTTATCCACAGATATTTTACAATGTTTCTAAAAGGAGAACACTTGTAAAGGCATCACTGTGAACCGTGATCACACCTAAAAAAAATTTATAGTAATTCTTAATGTGCTTCATTCTCAAGTCACTGATATAATTTCCCCAAGAACCTTTAGACCCTTTTTGGGGTGTGGTTTGTCCAAATCAGGATCCTGCTGCTTTTAGTCCTTCTCATTACCAACCTCTCTCTCTCTCTCTCTCTCTCTCTCTCTCTCTCTCTCTCTCTCTCTCTCTCTCCTGTTTTTGCTGTTGATTGCTCTTGATTGTTTGTTGAAGTGACTATTGTCATTTATTTTTTGCTTCTTCTGATGTAAAGCATGGTGTTATTTTGCTTGAGTTTAATCTGTCTCAAACATTTAGAGCTGCATGGTCTGTCTTTCCTAGGTCACTTTCTCTTTTTTTTTTTTCGGGTCACACCCTGCAATGCTCAGGAGTAACCACTCCTGGCTCTGCACTCAGGAATTACTCCTGGCGGTGCTCAGGGGACCATGTGGGATGCCGGGGATTGAACCTAGCCTGGCTGCGTACAAGGCAGACGCCCTACCCGCAGTACTATCACTCCGACCCCTCCATTAATACTTTTGGGAGTGCTTTAAATATTGTTTGTACTTCCTGGCCAAATTATTGTCTTTATTTTTTATGTTCCCTACTAAAGATCACTCTTGATAATTGTCTGATTCTGTCCTTGCCCCGAGAATCAGGGCACACAGAGTCCCATACCTTGGCTTACAGCTGTGAGGGTCCCCATGGGGATTTGGTGAAGTCTTCAAAGGTTTCCCTGTAGCTTCAAGAGGGCGATATGAATTCTTTGTAGAGGTTGCAGGTGTATCAGGCGTGTGGGATCTGTGTTGCCTCTGTTTTCATCCCAAGCATGCACCAGCAAGGGGGGCCATTCTGCAGAGTCCCCTGGTGGAGGAATCCCACCTTGCCTGTCGTGGCCGTGCCAGCCTCGGAGACAGGGCAGGGTGAGGTGTTTAGGCATTTTGCTTTGGTGCTGGACACTTTCCGTGATCTGTGTGAAGCATCCATGTTCCCCGTGAAGTAGCCAAGTTTTGCAAAGCCTGTGACATCTAACCATGGGCAAATGTATGTATGGGGGAGACGGGGAACTAAAGGGAGGAGAGTCCTTAGGATCAAGACATCAGGTTGACCTCAGCAGCAGAAATGGGGAATCCTATTACCTTTGGATTCCCGTGTTTCGGGTAGAGGGAACAGTAGTGCGGTTGTTACAGCTTCGCTGGCCGTCCTGGTGCATTCTCAGTGTGCGCTTACCACTACAATCCAGTATTTGAATTCTAAGGACATTTTCGGATCAACGTGGTCAGTGGAAGAATGTAAATATTTTTATATTTAAGGGGTATGATGTTACCACACCACTGCCTGCTACTAAGATACGTTTCAATAATACGTTTCAATAATATGTATAGTAACGCTGTGTGACTTGGGCCCAGCAAAGCTCAGGGCCATCAGGGACATTCCCAGTGGTATTGGTGGGGGAGGGGTTGGAGGGCACTTACAGGGATCAGACTTAGCCTTAAGGGTGCAGGGCATGCACTGCAGCCTTATGAGCTATCTCTGTAGCCCAAGTATCCTAAACTGTTATTTTATTAAGAGCCTGGCAAGCTACTGAGAGTGTCCTGCCTGCACGGCATAGTCTGGCAAGCTGCCCGTGGTGTCTTCTATATGCCAGAAACAGTAACAACAAGTCTCACAATGGAGATGTTACTGGTGCTGGCTTGAGCAAATCCATGAACAATGGGAGGACAGTGCTACAGTGCAGTGCTAAAATAAAATAATGGGATTATGCCTTTTTGGGGTTTGGGTTTGTTTTTGGTTTGGGGGCCACACACCGTCTTGCTCAGGCCTTGCTGCTGGTTCTCCACTTGGGACTCATTCCTGGCAGGGTTTAGGGGACCATATGTGGTGTCAGGATGGAACCAGGTCGGGTACATGCAAGGCAAGTGCCCTACCCACAGTCCTGTTGCTCCAGTCTCTACCAGGGGTTTTTATACAAAGAAATCTATGCCATTTTTCTTTGTTTCATCTTATCTTGGGGCCACACCCAGCAGTGCCCCGGGGTTACTCCTGGCTCTGCACTCAGGAATTACTCCCGGTGGTGCTTGGGGGTCCATATATGATGTCAGGGATTGAACCCAGGTTGGCTGCATGCAAGGCAAGCACCCTACCTGCTGTGCTATGACTCTTCCTACCCCCCATGTTTTTTTTTTGCTTTTGCCTTACTCTTAATTTCCCAACTTCATATAACATTGATAAAATTCTAAAATATGGTGGAAAACAGCGCATGACGGTGCTTTAATTTTTCCCTCCCTGGATAATTCTTTCTTTTCTTGACTTGTAGGCAGCCTGGACATCTGGGCCATCACCGTAGAGGAGAGAGCGAAGCACGATCAACAGTTCCACAGTTTAAAGCCAATATCTGGATTTATTACTGGTAATTGCATCAGTATTTTCCATTTTCCTTCTCAGTGGTGGATATATTCTTGGAAAATGTATCATGCAGAGCTAAGGTGGGCATATACGATCACCAACTGTTTTCTTTCTCTATTTTGACTTTTTTTCACAGTTGGTTTTCCCATCGAGGCATTCAGATCCAGTTTGCAATTCTTCCTGGATGTCAGGCTACTAGTTTCTGGCATTCAGGAATAGGAGAGGGCCAGGGCCATGTATGTTAATGGAGGTGAGGCACGTGCCTAAGTTTGATCCTGGATCTGGCTTGTGAAACCTATACAAATGAATGTCTTTCAAAGATGGGGTGGGGGTGGGGGGTGGAAAGAATTGTTGTGAGAGCTGGTTTTTGTTCTTGGGCTTCTCTGTTATCTTTCCTGCTTGATTACACTTCAGGAAGTCGCTTCAGAGAAAGAGGGTCCAGATTTCCTGGGAACTTGTTTTTGTGTGTGTTCCCCTCCCAGCCCTTGTTCTTGTTGTTATGATTCGGGGTGGGAGCGCGCCCCCCCCCAACCCCCCAGCAGTCCTCACAGGGCCTGGGCCGCTCCCAGTGAGGGTCTGTCAACTGGTTCCACTGTTCCATGCTCAGACCTCAAAAGGTGGCGCTGCTCAGGCACAGCAGTGCCAGGGGCCGGATGGTGAGTGGAAGTAAACTTGGGGCCCCACATGTGCAAGGCCAGGGCCCCTGACCCCTGAGTCAGCTCCTTGAGCCCTCATAGTTCTCTTTCAGTCATCCACGCGGTCCTTTGCATCATGACCCCTTATTCTCCGTGCGCACATTAGAAGTGTTGAAAATTCTCAGTGTAGATTTTGAGAACAGAAGAGAAGAGAAGAGATTATACTTATCCTGCAGAAGTGAGCATGGACCATCAGTTTCCTGAAGATTCCTGTAGAGGTGTAGATGGGTGGAAAGAATCAACCCCTGAGGAGAATAGGCCTCTTTGGAGATTTTATTTATTTTGGGACACACCTGGCGTGATCAGGAGTTGTTCCTGGTCTGCACTCAGGAATTACTCCTGGTCAGCTTGGGGGATCATGTGGGATATTGGAGATTGGACCCAGGTTGGCCACAAGTGCCCTCCCCCCTCACATCCACTGGACTATCTCTTTAGCCCCACTTTTGAAATTGTTTATTTTGGGGGCCACACCCAGCAGTGCTTGGGGGACCTAGTGGAATAATAGCCTTTGCATGCAGATCATATCCTCCAGTCCGCTGAGCCTTCTGTCAGGCTGCTGAGATGAAATATATATTTTTACGTCTGTGTTAGATTTATTTTGCCATTGTTTCTAGTATTAACTGTTCAGCATTTCTCAGGTACTTTAGTCAGTACTTGTGGGATTCGTTTTACTTTTGTCATGTTGTCCTAAGGGAATTTCTATCAGCTCTTGTTTTCATCTGAAACTTTTCTCTTTACATTTACAGGTGATCAAGCTAGAAACTTTTTTTTTCAATCTGGATTACCTCAGCCTGTTTTAGCACAGATATGGTAAGTTGGAACTTCCATAAACCCATGATAAAATATTCTATTAACAAAACTTTGTAAGATTAGATAGGAACAGATCTATAACCTGAAATACTATTACTTCTTTCCCTATGACTACTTCTGAACGTGTCTTAAAAAAAATGTTCCAGGGTATCATGAATTGCAGTGATGTTGATAGTAATGTATTAGCATACACTGTTGCCTCCCACCCACCAGTGGAATGAAAAAAAAAAAGACAAAATCAGTGACAACATGTCCAAGTGCTGAGTTTCCAGTTGAGAAAGCTGCATTGTGACATCTCCTTAGATGTTTGCCTTAGCGTCAGTGACATTGATCACACTCGTTTTGTTTCACCTTGTAAATGGTTCTTAGCTTTCATTGGCTCAAAAGGTAAAGGGTCAGTTGTGAAATAATCAGTGTGATTATTAATAATCAGTGTGAACACGGCCTACTTACTACAAGCCAGGCTGGCTTGCATCCATAATAGAGGTTGCCAAATTCCCTCAACTCACAAGAAGCACTGGGTGTGTTTTGTTTATATGGGGGGATACTCTCAGCAGTGCTCAGGAATTACTCCTGGCTCTCTGCTCCAGGGTCATTCCTGGCAGAGCGCAAGGGACCACCTATAGTGCAGAGGATCTAACTGCGATTGGCAGATTGCCTTAGCCACTGTACTACCTCTTGCGCCCCTGTGTTCAGTGTTTCGAAAGAGAGAGAGACAGAGAAGACAGGAGAGAAGAGAGAGAGTGAGACAGACCGATAGACAGAGGAGAGGAGAGAGGAGAGAGAGAGAGAAAGGAGAATGCGAGCCTAAAACAGGCACATGTAGTATGGGTCTAGATTCAGGAGTTTGGGGAGTTGTGCTAAGTGCTCCCTTACTCTGAAGCCACATTTCCCTTGGAAAACTGTGGCTCTTATAGCCAAGACTTAGTGTTCCTGAATCTGTCAGTACGGTGGAGGCAAGATTAGTGGTCAGAACCTTGTGTTTAGTCCCAGCTGTCCTGCTTTCTGTCTGTACTTTGAAACCTAGGTATTGCTTCTTTGAACTCTTGTTTTCTCATCTAGAAAATGGGAAGACATGAATTTTCCTTACAAAGGGTGGGAAGAGTTTGCAGAGAAATGTACGAAAAGAAGCTGGGGCGATAGCACAGTGAGGAGGGCATTTGCCTTGTATGCAGATGACCCAGGTTCAATCCCCAACATTCCATATGGTCCCCTGAGCTCACAAGGAGTAATTCCTGAGTTAAGAGCCAGTAGTAAGCCCTTGAGCACAGCTGAGTGTAGCCCCCAAACAAAAACTAAAGGAAACAAATCTACCCCGAAACAGTCTGGATTAGAATTGCCAGCAGGGCCAGAGAGATGGTACAGCAGGAAAGGCTCTTGTTTTGCACGTGACTCACCTGACCTGGGTTTGATCCCTGGCACCAGTATGGTCCCCCAGATACTGGCAGGCGTGATCCCTGAGTGCAGAGCCAGGAGTAAGCCCTCAGCACTGTGAGGAATGGCCCCAAACCAAAATTTAAGAAGGAAAAAAAAGAAAAGTACCATCGGGATGAAAATCATTTGCTGTGTTCCAAAATCACAAGGCATTCTTGGGAAATGCAGATCTGCATATGTGTGCGTGTATTATATTTGGGTTTTTTTGTTTGTTTTTAAAATTTTCTTTTCTTTTTCTTTTTTTTTTTTATTTGTGAAACACCATGAGGTATAGTTGTAGACTTAAAATTTTTTGTGCTTGGGTTTCAGTTATACAATGATGGAGTACTCATCCCTCCCCCAGTGCCCATTCTCCACCTCCAGTGCTCTCAGTATCCCTCACACCCCCCAGCCCCCCCAGCCCACCCCACCCCTGTGACATCAGATTGCATTTATCTGGGGAATATAAAGCGTGTATTATATTTGAATTGAGGCAAAGGTTAGCAGGTTTCTGTGCTGATTTGAGGGTCTGCTTTTCTTTCTGCTGTCTTTTTCCCCCTCCACCTCTTGGCTGTTAGATGGTCTCCTCCAGAGAATCGCCTCCGCTGAATCTGCTTCTCGTCCCAATTCCTGATTGAGTGTGCGTGTGGGGAGTGCAGAGGGCCGCACCCCTGTGCTGGGTCTCTGCAAGAGTGCTCTGAGCCCCCCAGTGTGTTTTTACTAGTGAAAGTGTTCTTGAAGAGAACAGATTGTGTTGGAGGGATAGTGCAATGGGCAGGGCATTTGCTCTGCAGAGGGCTGACCTGGGTTCAGTCCGGTTCCACGTAGGTCCCCTGAGCACTACTGGGTGTGACCAGAACATAAAAAACAAAGCAAAAGAAATCAGATTGACTGGTTGAAATGAAAAGAAATTCTGTTCGCTCGCTCGCTCACTTTCTCTCTCTCTCTTCTTTTTCTTCCTTCTCTTCCTCTCTTCCTTTCTTTTTCTTTTTCTTCTGGGACTTTGTGAAATACATTGGGCCGTGAATATTTCACTTGATCAAGGCTTGCTGTGAGGAGAAGAAGGAAACATACTGCCTTTTCTCTTTTCCCCAAAGAAAGGTCCTTGGCAGCCTGCGACATGGACAAAAAGAGTTTCGGGAGGAGAGAGATGGTCTCTGGCAGACGCTCAGACACCCCAACCCTTAGTTCTTTGTATCCCTGGACAGTCCCTGGCCTTTTCAAATTGCGGTTTTAAAATTTATAAATAATAACAGCTGGCTTGATGAAATCCTCTTCCTTCCCTCTCAGACTGATCTGTGTGGTTTCCGGGAGGGTGAGGCCCAACCGAGGCCCACACCCCTTTGCTGGAAAGAGGAATAGGCTTGAGACTCTCCTCTCCTTTTTTTTTTTTTCTTGAACTTTTTGTCCACACCCTGCAGTGCTCAGTGTTTACTCTGGCTCTGCTCTCAGGGTCACTCCTGGGAGCGCTTAGGGGGACCATGTGCAGTGCTGGCGATCAAACCGGGGTCAGCTGTGTGCAGGGGCAGCGCCTTCACCCCTGTCCTAGCTCTCTGAGCCAGGTTTGAGTCTCTAGTGTCAGGTGGCCCCTCGGTAGTCATCAGGGAGGAAGAGCTGTATGGGATTGTGGGGCGTTGCCCTCGCCCATCTGTCCGTCTGCCTCTCAGTGACCTAACTCTCCGTGCTCTGAACTCAGTGAAGAAACTTCAAGATGTGGACCTCTGGGGAACTGTGTGTTAGAGATTGCTCTCCTGTTCCACTCCCTCCAGAAACTGGCCTGGTGGGCCCACTTAGGAGCTTGAAAGCTGACAACGACCGCTCCTTGAGGCTCCAGATCCGTCTGTCCCATTCTAGTTTCCACTTCAAGTCCAAGAGCCTCTCCATCCCAGAGGACGGACTCAGCCGCAGCCTTCCATGCCAGCCTTCAAGCAGTGGCCAGAAAGGATCTGTCTTCCTAGAACTTAGGAGCTGGCAGCCAGCTGGAAATAGTGTGTGTGTCCCCACGGCACCGCCATCTCGCTCATTCTCCCATCCTTGGTGTGCTTTGCTAAGGGTGCAGAGGCGGAGTTGGGAAGGACTTGATTCCTGCCACCATGCAGTCTCCCCTCCATCTCGGTGTAGCCCTGGAGGCTGCCAGCACTGCTGGAGTGGCCTGAGTGTCCTCATGCCGTGGGGCACTGCAGCCGTAGGGACTTTAAAGGCCGAGAATCCCCAGGGGGACCCCCAGGTCTCCTGAGGGACATTTGTTACCCGCCCGGAATGTAGAATTTCTGCCAGGAATCCTCTTTGAATTCATGTTTTTTGCTTTTGGGTGTGACAGTGCCCAGGCCTTCCTCCTGGCTCTGTACTGAGGGATCACTTCTGGCGGTGGTCAGGGGACCATATGTCGCGTGCAAGATAACATTAGGTGCCTTAATCCCGGTACTGTCTCTCTGGACCCAGGCCAGTGTTTTTAATTTTTGTTGTGTAGCCCATCTTTTATGATGTTTCAAATTTTCTCTCTCTGCGCTCCCTCCATTAATCTTAAGGTTGCTTCTCTCTGCAACTCTTAACTTTCTGTTTGACACAATATTTGGGTGCGCCTCCTTGGAAAGATTGTTAGTGTTCGCATTTTAATTGGGATAGCAGTTCCTGTTGCTGTTTCAAGTGATGCTCAGGGTTTACTCATGACTGTGCTCAGGGATCACTCGTGGCGGGGCTTGGGGGACCATATGGAGTGCTGCTGGGGATTAAACCCGGGCCAGCCATGTGCAAGTCAAGAGCCCTACCCACTGCCCTATCTTTCTGGCCTGGGCATGCATTCTTGAGCTTTGAACATCGAGGTGAAAAGAACTGAAATGTCGGCGAACTTTTTTCATGTGGAAGAGTTTGGGTTATCTGGAAAGTGTAGGTTGTGTGTGGATGGGATGGTTGCTAGTTCCGAGTACAAATCCTTCTGTTTGTTCAGTCTTGGAGAGAAAAATGCTCGGTGGGAAGTTGCCCCAGACCACTCCAGCTGAGTGCCAGTTGAGTGCTGTTTCCAAAGAGTAAACACATTTGTCAGCCTGTTTAATTAATTGTTGGCAGCTTGAGAGGTTCACGAGTGAGTGCCTTCGACATAGCATGTCATGTCCCCATGGGGAGGTTTGTAGAACCCCACAGAGGAGCTGATGCAATTAACCAAGTATTTCTAGAAATACTGTTTCTAAATACTTCTCACTTCCCCCCTCCCCACCCCTCACAACTGCTTTGTTGTGACATAACTCGCCCCCTTGAAAGTGGAGATTTCATGGGCTTTTAGTGATTCACAGAATTGTGCCACTTTCACCCCTGTCTAATTTTAGAGTTTCCATCCCTTCAGAAAGAAACCTTCTTTTTTAAAGTCCTAAGGCCTGACCCTCCAACTGAAAACTTCACCTTTTCGCATCTCAGCTCTAAGTAAAGCAGAATAGAATAAAAAGCATTTGGAGTTTCTAGGAAACCGGGGTAGGATTTTCAGGTTTCTCCCTCCAGCTCCAGAAGGGGGTTTAAGCCATGCTCTTGGGCCCAAGAGCGCAGCTGGTTTGCTTGGGGGGGGCTCACAGGCCTCTCACCATCCTGCTGAGTCACTGTGCTTGGCTTGCAGGGCACTTGCCGACATGAATAACGATGGAAGGATGGATCAGGTGGAGTTCTCCATAGCGATGAAGCTCATCAAACTGAAGCTGCAAGGCTATCAGCTCCCCTCCGCACTGCCCCCCGCTATGAAGCAGCAGCCTGTCGCTCTTTCTAGTGCGCCCGCGTTCGGTAAGTCTGGAGAAGTGGGGTCTCAATGTGGTGGTAGCACTGTCTTTAGCACTGTAGCACTGTCCTCCCGTTGTTCATTGATTTGCTCAAGCGGGCACCAGTAATGTCTCCATTGTGAGACTTGTTAAGTTTTTGGCATATCGAATACGCCACGGGGAGCTTGCAAGGCTCTGCCGTGCGGGTGGGATACTCTGAGTAGCTTGCCAGGTTCTCCGAGAGGGACAGAGGAATCTGACCTGAGTCAGCCGCATGCAAGGCAAACGCCCTACCCACTGTGCTACTGTTCCAGCCCATGAATTAATATGATGAATGAAATTAATGAAATAAATTAGTTAATGAATTAGCTAATGCTCCAGCCAGCAATGTGGTGGTAGATTTAAAAAAAAAAAAAAGTAAAGTATCATTCTTCCATCCCATCTCCCCACCCCCAGTGCCTTAGTTTGTCACTCTGTGAAGGTTAGCAGGGCCGGGTCACTCCATCTGAGGAATGAGGGTCCGCTGGCAGGACAGTGGTGCTGGACAGACGAGAGTAGTGGGTTCATCCTGGGGCCTCCTCGGGTTGGAGGAAGAGAAGGGAAGGCAGAGATGTGGAGTTGGCTTGAGCGGAGGCCTTGTAACCTGCTGCCTTTATCTAGCTTATACTGGTGTTTTTTATTCTTTTCGGGGAAAAAATTTCCTGATTTTTTTATGATCTATTTAAGACATTCAGTATGTGTGTGGGGAGTGCTGCCCAGGGATCCAACCCAGGGCCTCACACATGCCAGGCAGGTGCTGTACTGCCAAGCCATATGCCTCGCCCACTTATTGGGTTCGTTCTTTCTTTTCTTTTTTTGTTTTGTTTTGTTTTGTTTTGGGGTCATACCTGGCAATGCTCAGAGATTACTCCTGGCTCTGCACTCAGAAATTACTCCTGGTGGTGCCCGGGGGAGCATATGGGATGCTGGCGATCGAATCCAGGTTGGCCGTATGTAAGGCAAGCGCCCAGCCATCTGTACTATCGCTCTATCGCCCTTGTTGGGGGTCTTTGTCCCCCGCATACATTATGGAAAAAGAGAATCAAGTGATTGTCTTCCTCCTTGGGCAGTGAGAGCTCCTTTGAAATACATAATCTCAGTTACATTTAATGTTATTTATTAAAACTTGATTCCATTAAAGAGTTATCCTTTAGGTAGTTTTATTTATTCATTCATTTATTTATTTTGGTGTTTGGGCCCTGGCGATGCTCAGGAATTACTCCTGGTGATGCTCGGGGGACCATATGGGATGCCGGAACTCTACTCTGAACCATGTGCAAGGCAAAACCCAGAAAGCACTAAAACTAATAATAATTGGGGCTGGAGAGATAGTACTGGGGGTCTGTCTTGCTTGCCACAACCCTGATGGTCTTTCACATGACTGGACCCCAAGGACTGCCAAGTCCCCCGAGCCCCACCAGATGTTTCCCCAAAAAGTGAAAAAAAGAAAAAGATTTATCAGGGCTGGCGAGGTGACCCAAAGGGCTAGTACACGTGCTTACATGCTAGTGGCCTGGGTTCAATCCCCGCCACTGTATGGCTCCATGCTGGGAATTGTGCCTGAGCACCACTGGCAATTCTAGTGCCAGAAAAAAGAAAAATTCATAACGAGTTAACTAATACTACCAGCACTTCTGATTTCCTCTCCATTCTCATTCTAGATTTTACAATTTTTAGGTTAGTTTGAAGATGACCTTCATCAGTTCTAACACCAGATTTGTGGGAAAGTTCTTGAACAATAAAGAACAATAAAGACAAGACTAGAATGGGGATAGTTTTTATTTTTTATTTTTTTCTCATTTCTCATTAGCACTATCCAAACCAATAAAATGAAAGAGACTGAAGAAGGAGACAGGCTGGTGGTCATGCCAGGTGACCAGTTAATGTTGGGGACCCTCTGGGAACTCTGATTTAGTCCATCACGAGCTGAAAGAGAAATGATTTACACCCCCAGAACTGTCTCTCCAGCCCCAAATGGTTTCACTTCTTGCACCATTTTAAGCCCGTGTGCGTCAAGCACTTCTCTGCCGGGACCTTGACAAGGCCCCAGACCAGTTCTGATGGGGTGAGAACAGGTCCCTGTTTGGAGTTGGTGTTGGAGTTGGAGTTTAGAGTGGACTCTGTTTGGACCTGTTTGGAGAACAGGCCCTGTTGGCGGAGTGTGATATTGACCCAGGAGAGGAAGCGAGAACTCAGACAGCTAGGGGTGATACACCCAGGGCTGGGAGAGCGGAAGAATAAGGGACATGGTCCCTCTGTCTTGTGTGTCACAGGGCTTAGTGGGTGCCTGAGAGGCAGTGACTGCGATCTCACATGGCCCTGGGAACCCCTCTTTGGTCCCAAGCCGTGTGTGCCCCATAGAGGGATAGGAGTGTTTGGACCATACCCCGTAGTGCTCAGGGCCAATTGCTGCTCTGTGCTCCGAGGTGGCTCCTGGCAGGGCTGGTCTGTCTCATGTCCACTTGTCTTCTGGCTTCCCTTCCCTTGTTACAGGAGAAAACTGCGTGCAGAAGGTCTGTTTCATTTTTACTTCTTAATTTATAATTTTTTAAAAATTTAAAATTTTTCAGGGGCTGGAGAGATAGTACAGCAGGTAGGGCGTTTGCCTTGCACACGGCCGACCCGCCGGGGTTCGATTCCCACCATCTCATATGGTCCTCTGAGCACCACCAGGAGTAGTTCCTGAGTGCAGAGCCAGGAGTAACCCCTGTGTATCGCCGGGTGTGACCCCCAAAGCAAAAAATAAATAACTTTTAAATTAATTTTTCCCTTATGAATTCTCCTTCATTTAGTCTCAGGTTTGTCTTTTTTTCTTCCTTGTTTCCCTGGCCCGTATTTCCTTTCATGTTTTCTGTGTCTTCTTCCTTTCCACTCTGGGATTCCCACCTCTGGTGCACCTTCAGATTTCGAGCCCCAGAACCAGGGTTCCTGACGGGGCAGCTGGCAGGTGACTCTCTGCCCTGGCCCTGGCCCCCTCCAGGCCGCCCTCTCCTCCCCTCTTAAGTCCTGAGGCCCTGTCCGAAAGGAAATGGTCCTCAAGTTTCTTCAAATGTTGGTGTTGGCTGCTATTTCTGCTTCCATGTTTCAGCTCAACCAGGATAATTTTCTCCTTAAGTTCCAGTTACTTGACAACAAATTAATTAAGTGGTGTGTGTGTGGGGGGGGGGGGGGCGGGGGTGGAGAAGGGGGCAGGTAGTGGCAGGGACAGAATCCAGGGCCTCATCCAGCCTGGTATGTGCTTGGTCGCTGTTTCTAAGTAATCCTACAAATGCTCTGACAGTCCGTTTCCAAGCCTGTGGAAAGTGGGTCTCCTAGAATGTATTTTATTTCCCCATGACAGTAAACCTAAGATGAAATCCAGTCTGTTCTAGACAGTAAACCTAAGATGAAATCCAGTCTGTTCTAGAAACTGAGATAACCTGAGCGCTCAAGAAGTTGAGTGGTGTGCTCAGGCCCGTGGCCTACAGGGTTAATTTTCCCCCAGGCCCGGAGGGAGAGCTTGCCTGGACCCAGAGTTGTTGAAACCCAGCCTTTTCAAAATTGTGAGCATTGTGGCCAGAAGGCGGATTAAGGAGTTAAGAATTTCTTTGGGTGGAGGCTGTGGGAGGCCTGGGTTGCACCCTGCGGTACTCAGGTCTTCACTCGTGGCTCTGTGCTCGGGACCATTTTGTGGTAGCCTGGGAATTGAATTCGGCTCAACCACATTCAAGGCCCTTTAGTCCTGAGCTGTTCTGGCCCAGCCTCGTCTCCAGCCTGCCCTGCCTTTCTTCCTGAGTCTGGAGTCTTGGAAGGGATATGGGAGAATTTCAATAATTCTCCCCCTCACCCCCAGCTGTGTTTATCTGGAAGTGTTGCGACAACACGGCCTCCCTGGAGAAGCTGGCCAGCCCAAGTTGTTGCAGCAGCTGGTTAGACGCCGGGCCGCTTCCGACGGGAACATGAAGGCGTCTGGTCTTGACAGCGATGGAAAGAACTGGAAGGCTCTCATCCTTCCCACTTCTCAAAACTGGCCCAGCCAGAATCCAGACTCCCTTTGAGGACAGCTCTCCACCAGGAGGATAGGGACCGAGAGTGGTTCAGAAAGCGCAGGGCAGGACTGAGGACAATGGTTTGACTGGCTGGATTCCATCCCTATATTCAGGCAACCTGGGTTTGACCCCCAACATCCCACATAGTCCCCCGAGCACCCTCAGTGCAGAACCAGGAGTGACCCCTAGTACCTCTAGGGACCAGGACATCCCCCAGAAACCAAAGGTTTTATTTATTTACTTGTTTGTTTTTTCCTGGGGCCTTCACAGAGCATGCTCTGGCGCAGCGTGCAGGGGAGGCCCGAGCGACACCCGGCAGTGCTCAGGGGACTGTACAGTGTCCCGTGGTGAGAACCCAGTGCTGCCCTGTGCAAGACATGTGCCTTAAGACTGCTCCTTAGAAGAAAGGGGAAAGAGAAGAAGTCTTTTCAGGGTCTGGGACAGCAATGGGACAGCACTGCAGTGGGTAGGGCACTTGCCTTCAGGTGCTGTTTCAATCCCGGTGCCACATAGGGCCCCTGAGCCCCACCAGGACGAGGCCCTGGGCACTGTGACCCTAAACAAACAAAAAGTAATTTCAGAGATAAGGAAGAGGAACCAGGGAGACACGTGCTATTGGAGTAATATGTCTGAAATTAAAAGGAAACCTAAGGGGCCAGAGAGATAGTACAGCTGAAAGGACACTTGCCTGGCCTTTCACGTGGCTGAACTGGGTTTGATCCCCACCCTGCCATATGGTCCCCTGAGCCAGGAGTAACCCCTGAGCACCACCCGGGTATGGTTCAGTTCTATCCCCTTCCACCCTAAAAGGAAATGTGAAAAATAGGGGTTGGAGAGATAGTACAATGGTTAGGGCCATGGGACTGTTGCTGTTTTTTCTTCCTTCCTAGGTATCGGTGGCATTGCCAGCATGCCACCACTCACAGCTGTGGCTCCCGTGCCAATGGGTTCCATCCCGGTCGTGGGAATGTCCCCACCCCTCGTCTCCTCCGTTCCTCCAGCAGCAGTGCCTCCCTTGGCCAATGGGGCGCCCCCTGTGATCCAGCCCCTGACAGCCTTCGCTCACCCTGGTACGTGGCTCGCGGCCAGCTCAGGTTCCGCTTTCTCGCCAACCACTGGGCTTTCACCCCTTATTCCCAAGGGACAAACAAACCACAGTGATGTTTTCACCAAGGCTAGAGAGATGGAGAAGGAATGGTGATGTTTCGGAGCTCGGAGTTCCACAGTGGGGAGGGAAGGAGCCCGAAAACCAAGACCACGCGCAGCCGCAGTGTTTCATGTTTTGTATCTCTGTGTATTTTCTCTTTGTTTCTTCCATTGCGTGCCACAAAATAAACCTACGCCTAAGCAAGAGAATCTTAGGGAGGTGGGGGGGCGGGTTGTATTTATTTTTAGGTGGAGGTGAGTGATTGACAGAGAAAGTGAGTAGACGTATACAGAATGGCTAAATACATTCAAGTTGTAGTTTTTCACGCTGGCGTCATTGAAGGAAGGGATGAAAGAGTTCCTGCTTTCGTTCATGCCATTTTGAGACTTGATTCAGTCTTTCTCCCGGGAGTGATAGAAAGCGGATGCTGGAGCTGGAGCCAACCTGCATCTGACCTGCTGTGAAGGGTTCGGAGAGCGTGGGAAGTCTCGCCAAAAAAACCCCTTTAATTTCTGATGTGAAGATTCAGTAGTGACGACTGCATGGGCTTTAGTAGGGTCCTGCCTCCCGACCCCCCCCCCCCCCAATCCCGTTTCTGTCATTCACTGCAGGACACCAGGATCCGGCCCTGAGCCACAGTCAGAGAATCGCAGGGTCCCCCTTTCCCTCCTCCGATTCCCGAGTTCTGTTTTCCATGTGACCCTGGGGTGGCGGCTGGCACAGTACCAGCCCCCCGCACCCCAGGGGACTTAGGAGTCAGGTGCTCTGGGTCAGGGGACAGGGATGAGGCCATAGTGCGGGCCAAGGCTGAGAGTGTGGCAGGTCCTCGGCTGTTCTCTGCCCACTGAATCGAGATTCAGGACACCAAAGCTGCCCCTCCCTGGCGTCTCCTGTTATCTGGCCCAGACTGCAAGTCTGTGACTTCTTGGCACCTAGATCTGGGACTGCCAAGAGCAGTTAAGAAAATGCCATTTCGACTTCTCAGGCCGTGGAACAGGTCCTGTCTCTTAGGATAAGTGGGGGCAGTGTATGGTCGTCACCGTGACTCCTCGGGAAGGCGATTGCAGTAGGAACAAGCATGTTTAGACGTTTATTTACTTTTCTTGCGGGGGCGGGGGGGGGGGACAGGGGGCAGGAAAGGGCCTGCTAAGTCTCTCTGAGTCTTGGGGAGGTAAGAAGGAGTCATTTCAGCCTCGGTTGGATGACGTGTGTTCACCTTAATGTGTTTAAGTAGGGGCAGATTTCTTTTCTTTGTAGGACTAAAGTTATTCTGCGTTTATTTCCACAGCAGCCACATTGCCAAAGAGTTCTTCCTTTAGTCGATCTGGTCCAGGGACCCAATTGAACACCAAGTTACAGAAGGCACAGTCCTTTGATGTGGCCAGGTAAGTTTGCCGGTCTGGGTCAGGCTATTTGGTTGAAGCTGTTGTCTGATTGGCTTGTAAATTCCAAAGTGACTCAGTGGCGGGCGATCCTTAGGAGCCTTTTGCGTTGTGGAATGTCATTACTTTTCTTCTTCCTGGGGAATGTTGCCAGGCTTTGATTGTATATTGTAGACCTGACAAAAGCTGAGCGCATGACCATTCTGTGAAGTTTTTTTAAGAGGATTACAGGTAGGGACTAGTAGCTTGTATAAACATCAGAAAACATCGTTCCAGGTATTTTGTATTGATCGTTTCTATGTTTATGTATAAAATTATTAACCTGAAGAATATAGCCATAAATTGGCTTGTGTGTGTGCGTGCACGCATGTGTGTAGTGCGGGTCGGGGTGGGGGGGCACACACAGGCATTCCTCTTGGCTCTGTGCTTGGCTCTGTGCTTAGGGATCCTTCCTGGCAGGACTCGGGACCATCTAGAATGCCTGGGATCCAGCCAGGTTGTCCTATGCAAAGCAAGCGTCCTGTCTGCTATACTCGCTCTCCAGCCCTCTGCAAAATTGGCCCTACTCGATCTCAGAGATACTCATTGAATCTTTCAACACAATTCTTTTTATTTAAGAAATGTTGTATTTATTTATTTGGTTTTTTGGCCTCACCGGGCCATGCTCAGGGCTTACTCCTGAATCTACTCAGGAATCACTCCTGGCGGGCTAGGGAAACCATACGGGGTACAGGGGATTGATCCTGGGTCAGCCACATGCAAGGCAAGAGCTTGTCCTGCTATACTATTGCTCTGGCCCCAGTAAAATCCATTTAAAAATTATTTTTATTTTTAATTTTACTGGTGGTTTTCTTAGTGAAATCCAAGTTTAGACCAATTTTCCTGAAATCAGGAATCATCCGGTCAACCAGACAAACTCAGATCACCTTATTGCTTTTGTCCTGGCCAGTATTGCTTTCTTATGATCTTTCATCCTTTACCCCTGATTTTCCCCCCTGCATAGCCCTGCTCCAGGATGAACACTAAATCCTTTTATGAGCCACTCAAACCTTTGGGAATGGAAGACGATTCCCTCTACTCTCCTTTCAGCCCACCTCAGAAATCCTTCCTAAGGGAATCAGGTCATTTCCCCACTTTGAAGTGAAGAGAAGACTATATTGACTATAATCAATCATTCATTCCCTTCAGCCAGAAGAATTTCATGAAAATCTGTAAACAGCGTAGCTCAGTGCCATATGTCTTATGAATGTGAATGTCTCTCAGGCTAACTTCCTCCCTCACTGCACACGAACTCCTGTCACGTTCATCTCCTCCCTCACAGCAGCCTGTTTGCTCAGTTATGGATGAGGGAGAAGCTGGGTGATACTGAGTCACTTGCTTGAGAAAACCTAACTCACCACTGTCAGAGCTTAGAGCTCAGCTCAGACTTAAGGCGGAAAACTGACGTGCTCAGTGTAATCTGGAACCCCTTCTGTGTGTGACGCCCCGCTTTCTCGGGTGCAGGAGAAAGATAAGTAGCTTCTTGACAGCTAGGTAGGAGCAGGGCTGTGCAGTCACGTCAGTAAACTTAAAAGATGAGAGATTGGTTTCCACAGTACTCACTGCACAGTAGAGCTCGGTAAGTGTCTCTTGTTGTTGTTGTTGTTGTTGTTAATTAAGAAGTGGATAGGCAGGAGAAGGTGCCCTGAGGCAGCTCCCTTCCAAGATTTGGCGCCCGCTTCGTGCCACGTGAAGGGCGCCAAGCTGCCCGGGCTGGCAGCTCCTGGAGAGGAGGGCCCGGAGGCGCGGTGTGGGGCGGGTTTCACTTCTGCCAGGGAGACCTCGATCTTTCTCCCTGAAATGAAAGGGAACTGCGGAGGAGAAGCGAGAGTTGCCATCTGCGGGAAAGCCCCGTTTCCCCTGGGGCTCTGTGCCAGCCCTGGCCCTGGGAAACCCTCCCTGTGTGGGCATTTGGGCTTCCCAGCTTGAAGCCATCACACTTAAGAGACTCATCCTTGGGGGCTGGAGCCACAGTGCAGCGTGCGGGGCACTTGCTTTGCCCGAGGTTGACTCGGAGTGACCGCTGAGTCCAGAGCCAGGATTAAGCCCTGAGCCCTGCCGGGTGTGGCTCAGAAACCAACACATCATGCATCCTGGCTTTCTCTGTGCAGACAGTGGGACGAAAGAAATAGTTCAAAATGAATAAATTTGTTGTCGTAAATACATAAGTATTTGTTCAAGATAAATAAATTTGCTCTTGTGTTGGGGTCACACCCCTCAGTGCTTAGGGCTGACTCCTGGCTCTGCACTCCGGGATCATACCTGGCAGGTTCTGGGGGCCCTATGGGGTGCTGGGGATTCACCTGTCTGGCCATGTGTAAGGCAATTGCCTCACCCTCTGTATTCTCTCTCTGACCCCAAATAAAGTTTTTTGGTTTTTTTTTTTTGGTTTTTTTTTTTTTTTGCTTTTGTAGCCCTGCCCAGCGTATTCAGGGCTTTCTCCTAACTCTGTAATCAGGAATTACTCCTGGTGGGTTCGGGGGATCATATGGGGTCTTGGGGGATTAAACCCAGACTGGCGACATGCTAGAACTACTGGCTGTACTATATCTCTGTCCCCCAACCCCCACTTTTAAAAAAATTGGGGCCACACCTGGTGGTGCTCAGGGTTTACACCTAGCTCTGTGCCCAAGGTCACTCTGCCACTCCTGGCTGTGCTTGGGGGACTGTGTGTGGCCTCAGGCTTCAAACCCAGGTAGGCTGCGTGCAAGGTAAACCCTGCGCTATAACTCCAAGCCTTGGCGAATGTTTAAATGTAAAAAGAAAAATTGTTTTTGGGTTACTCTTTGCAGTCTTCAGTGTTTACTCCTGGCTCTGCACTCAGGAGTCACTCCTGGCAGTTCTCAGGGGACCATATGGGTTGCTGAGGAGCGAATCCAGGTTTGCCGTGTGCAAGGCATGTGCCCTCCCCGCTGTCCTGTCGCTCCGGTCCTTAGTCAAGCATTTTAAAGAGTGGATATTTAAAAGGCAGCCCTTTGTTAGTTCTGCTCAGGATGAAAGCAGAAGAGAACCAGCCTCCAAGTTGAGAAAAATCCTGCCCAGGGTTTTTTCACCACCTAGCGTATTCGAGATTCTGAGAACTGAATGAACCCCACTACTTTGGCAGAAATGTTTATAACCCGCACAAAGCAGGAAAGGGGTGATTAGAAAGTAGGAGGGAGGGGGTTCGATTCCCAACATCCCATGTGGTCCTCAGACCACCTGCCAGGAGTAGTTCCTGAGTGCAAGAGCTGGGAGTAACCCCCTGAGCATCCCAGGGTATAACCCAAAAAAGCCAAAAACAAAAAGAAAAGTGGGAGGGGAGTTAAGTGAAAGCTGCCTTTTGGGGAGATCTTAGCAGACTTTTGTTGGCTTATTTTTTATGTAACTCCTGGGATTGCCCCCGAGGGCTTCCAAGAGGTGAGCCTGAGGGCAGGCCCAAGAGGGTCTTTAAAGCTCTCAATGGGCGATTTCTGACTGTTCTCTTGTTGGTTCCCACAGTGGCGCTCCCGGGGCAGAATGGGCCGTCCCTCAGTCATCCAGGCTCAAGTACCGGCAGTTATTCAACAGCCACGACAAGACCATGAGCGGACACCTGACAGGTACTGCCCTTCGGGGAGATGGAAGGGTCCCATTACCTGCCTGTTCTTTCCTCACTCGGGAGGGAGGGTGCTTTTCACCTGTGACAGGCTGACAGGTGCAGCCTGTCCCTGGAATAGTGCCGGTGTGTGGGGAGGGACAGAGAGCAGATCACGGTCCCCGTCACAGCCCCCCAGACAGACGGACCCCAGACAGCTGGACTGTCACTCATTCACCTGAAGGATGAGTGGGGTGTCAGTGCTGAGGAGGGGGTCACAGTACAGAAAGGCCCCAAGTAGGATGTGTAACTTAATGTTCTTACTCCCCTGGCTTTTTTTTTCATGGTCAATGGTGTGTGGGTGTGTGTTGCCGCACGCGTGTGCCTTTTGCATCAGTCAGTGCTTTTGTGTGTGTGTGTTTCCCCAAATTTTAAAACACTCTTATTTTCCCTCCTGTTAACAGTAGAGGGATGGAGAGATGCTACGGCGGGTAAGGGCACTTACTTGCCTTGTGCTCGGCTGACCCGGTTTTGATCCCTGGCACCCCATATGGTCCCCCAAGCCAGGAATCATCCCTGAGGATAGAACCAGGAGCGAGCCTTGAGCACAGCCAGGTGTGTCCCCCCCCCAAAGAACCAAACTAAAAAATAATAATAGTTATTACATAAAGTATTGCAAGGCTCCAAACCCACCATCAAGATCAATGCCCAGTGCCACCCCCACCCCCACCCCAGCCAATGTCCCCAGGCCCCTCCCACCCCAGCCCACCTCCTTACCTCCTTAACAAACTCATTTCAGGAGGCTGCAGGGATTTAGGCCATGCTGCTTTGCTTATGGGCTCCTCGTGACTCTGCTTCTTGTCTCTCTGGCTCTGCGGCTTGTTTCTGTGGCCCAGTAAGTTCGTTATTTTGAAATGGCGACTCTTCTAGTTCGGGTCCCATACTTCCAATAGCGTGACTGTCCATGGTTTGAATAGCCTTAACACCTCACGCTTTCCATCACTGAGGTGTCTGTCACTGTCAGTCAGTCAGTGTCCTGATGCCTCCCATCTGCCTCATCTCTCTCCGGGCCCTTCCCCCTCCCCCCTTTGTGTGTGTGTGTGTGTATGTGTCTGTGTGTGTGTGTCTGTGTGTGTGTGTGTGAGCTCTTGTTTCACTGAGCTAGGAAGCATTTTACACTTGCACCTGATTGTCCTTTTGTCCTTCCTGAATCTGCTGGAGTTGTTCTCAGCCTCGAATGGGGCGTCCTCAGTAGTCTGACGGGCCAGCCAAAGCAGAGGCATTTGCCATGGAGTCATTTTGGGGGAGTTTGGACCACACTCAAGTACATAATAAGGGTCACTCCTGGTTCAGTGCTCAGAGGGTGCTCAGGGGATCATGGGGCTACCAGGGCTTGAACCGAGGACTCCTGAATGCAAAGCACGTGCTCCAGCCTTTGGAGCCCTCTCTCCCACCCCACACGGTGTGTTTTTAAATTCCAGCTTCCCCTCGCTGCCGGCTTTATTTAGGTGTAGTCCCCCCCCCCCCCCCCCCCCCCCGCCATGATGCTCTCACACCGTTGGAGGAGAATCTAGGTCATTCTCACGCTCTGCTTTTCACTATTTACTTTTCCATGTAAGTAGCTCTCAGAGCTGGCGGAGTTCTGGCCCACCCGCCAGCGGCTCCCTAGCGCCGGGAGCCTGGCCCCTCTGAGCAAATGTCTGTCGCTAAGTGCTCTTGGCAGTTAGGCTCCCGGTGACCCTGTCACCTGCCTCTGTGGAAGGCCAGCGAATTCTGGTCCCCTCCTTGAGGGCTGGCAGTAGGCATGGGTAGCTGGTCAGATTTTTTTTTTCTTTTTGGGTCACACCCATTGATGTACAGGGGTTACTCCTGGCTCTGCGCTCAGGAATTACCCCTGGCGGTGCTTAGGGGACCATTTGGGATGCTGGGAATCGAACCCGGGTTGGCCGCGTGCAAGGCAAACCCCCTACCCTCTGTGCTATTGTTCCAGCCCCCGCTGGTCAGAGAATTTCTTTTTTTTTATTTATTTATTTATTTATTGAATCACTGTGGGAAAGGTTACAAAGCTTTCAGGTTTATGTCTCAGTCATGTAAATATCAAACACATTTCCCTTTACCAATACTTATTTTTTACCATGAAGAACCCCAATAAAACCCCACCCCCCCACCCCTCCCCGTCCCTGTGAGGCAGATGAATTCTAGTTAACACTCTATCTGCTTTGATTAGATTCATTGTTTCAATAAAAGATTCACCACTATTATTTAGAGTTTACCCCCCCCCCAAATCAGACATGCTGAAAAAGCATTGTGAAGTAATTTGCTTTCTACGGCTGGGTTCAAGAATTAAATGTTGGTTTTGGATTTCTGCTCTTTTACCTATTGACCCTGGAAGTATTTCTACTGAAAGTCAGATAGTTAAGAAATTGGTTTCTGTGTTCTGGAGTCCTGGCCGTGCTGGAGAGCCGCTCGCGGGGGGGCAACCGGTGGCCTCGGTAGGGCGTGAAGGGCGGAGCGAAACGCCCCCCTTCCCATGAGGTTTTAGTCGCCCCCACACTCCCGGCTCATACCTGCTGTCCACAAGGCTCCCATGTGGCCGCCATCTTTCTTTCCAGAGAGGAGAGGGCGAATGGTCAGAGAATTTCTAAGCTAGGGGTGGACCCCACTGCCACAGGAGGGCTAGTCAGTCGGGAGAGACGGTGGGGAGGAAGAGTCTCGGGGTTGGAAGGTGCCCCCCATGGCCTCGCAGTGACAGTCATGTCTCCGTGGTCACAGGAAGGGGTTTGTATAGAGAAAGAGAACAGGGAAGCCCATTTCAGTTGATATATTTTGGGGGTGGGGCCGCGGCACACCCAACGATGCTCCGTCTTCACTCCTGACTCTGTGCTCAGGGATCATTCCTGGTGTTGGGGCCCCGGGACCCTGCAGGGTGCCAGAGATCGAATGTGGGTCAGCTGTGTGTGTGCAAGGCAACTCCCTCCCTGCTGTACTATAGCTCCAGCCCCTGAAGCCCATTTTTCAGATGGGTAGGCTAGGACTCGTGGGTGACAGGGGATTCAATAAATTCACCAGGGCCAGTCCCCCAAGGCCCACTTGCATGGAACTGTTGGTAAAGATTTCAGATAAGGGTTCTGCACTTAGCCTTCAGGATAAGATAGCAAGGGGGGCGGGGTGGGGGGGGGCACCTTGCACTGCCAGGAGGAATTCCTGAGTGCTGAGCACAGAGTAACCCCTGACCACCGCTGGGTGTGGCCCCCAAAGAAAAGATAAGGGGGGGCATTCTCAGCATTCCCGGCTCTCCTTGACCTACTGCTTTCTTGGCTTCTGATACTGACGGATGCCTCGTTTCCGAGGCTGGTTTCAGTCGGAGCTCCTGGGAGCTGCCGTTCATGGGGAGAGGGGAGACTGGTCTGCCCACGCCCTGTGCCCCACTTGGTTTTCTTTTTTATTTGTTTATTTTTGCTTTTGGGTCACACCCGCCGATGCACAGGGGTTACTCCTGTCTCTGCACTCAGGAATTAGCGGTGCTCGGGGGACCATATGGGATGCTGGGAATCGAACCCGGGTCGGCCGTGTGCAAAGCAAACACCCTACCCACTGTACTGTTGCTCCAGCCCTGACCCCGCTTGGTTTTAGCCAGTGCCTCTGGTTAAGTGGGCGCCCTTGTGCCCCCCCCTCCCCAGACAGACAGTCCACACAGTGGCTGCCTTCTCGCTCTCTTGTTGGGGTAGAGCACTCATCCCCGCTTCCCTACCCAGACCAGGGGCCCCTAGTCAAGTGTTTGCGGCTTGAGGATTGTCAGTCCCCACCGTGTTTCCTCACGAGCTCGCGCTGCAGACCCAGCCTCCTGCCCCGAATGCAGCATCCATGCCCCGGCTCTCTCTCGGCTCCCAGCATCCAAGACGCGCCCTTGACTTCTGCTCCCATGTTGGCTTGGTTTGCTCTCAACTCCTTGAATATTTCGCGGCCTTGTCTGAAGACCTGGCAAGGCAGGCATGGCCTCGCAGAAGACCCCTCTGCACACACTGTGTCAGACCAGACGCGTTTTGGAGTGCAGCTGTGCTCAGTGGCGCCTCCCTAGCGAGGCTGGGGTCTGTATTTCCAGGCCGGTAGGGCCCTCTGGGGCCAAGGTGGTGAATCACTTCCACATTGGTGAATCACTTCCCTTCTTGAAGACACTTCGAGGGAGTGAAAGTCACATGTCCTGCCCAGATGGTTTTTTGCATCTATTGTGACACTTTTTACTGGAAGTCAGCAAAATAGTCTCCTCTCCTCTCCTCTCCTCTCCTCTCCTCTCCTCTCCTCTCCTCTCCTCTCCTCTCCTCTCCTCCCCTCCCCTCCCCTCCCCTCCCCTCCCCTCCCCTCCCCTCCCCTCCCCTCCCCTTCCCTCCCCTCCCCTCCCCTCCCCACAAAAAACCTAAGATTGTACTTAAGATGGTCTGTGGTGCTGGGGACCAAACCCAGGGCCTCGCCTGTGCACAGCAAATGCCCCTCCTTCCTGTGGTTCTGAAGGAGAGTGGTCTAAGATAAAAGCTTCTCTACACTTGCCTGCATTTGCTTGAGCCATGGGAGAGCACAGTGATCGGAGAACTCTCCTTATTGCCGTACTCGCTGGCCCCCATGGAACCAACCGTGCTCTCAGCCCCAGGGACATTGTTGTTGATTTGTAGATGCTCCCCACACATCTGCACACATGCATAGACACCCAGCCAAAAGGCATGTGTGGGCCCGAGAGGTCGTATAGGGTGAGGCATGTGCCTTGCCTGCTGCTGGCCCGGTCCCATCCCTGACGCTGCCTGGGGTCCCCTAAGCACTGCCAGGAGTCATCCCTGAGCACAGAGCCAGGAGTCATCTCTGAATACCTCAGGGGTGGCCCCTTCCCACTCCCCCAAACATTCCCTCAAAGGGAATGTGTGCCTGTGTTCACCCACAGTTAGGATGATGAATAACATTCTGGACCAAACCAGGACTGGAGGCCAGCCTTGGCATTGCCTCTCTGGCGTAGCCTGGGCCAGAACCCAGAACAGATCTTTAATCTTTAGAGATCCGGTGGGGCAAAACACCTCTCTCTCTCTCTCTCTCTCTCTCTCTCTCTCTCTCTCTCTCTCTCTCTCTCTCTCTCTCTCTCACACACACACACACACACACACACACACACACACACGCCTTTTGGACAATAAGTACAAAAAAGCCAGGCCATCTCTCCCCTCCCCCCCACCCAGGCATAATCTCTTTCCATTCCTCGTCCCACCCCACCAGGCCACACCCCAGAGGCAGTGCTGGAAATGACACTCATTAGTCTTCCTCCCTGACACGTGTTTGTTTAAACACCCGCCGGCTCCTGTTCCTTAGATCTTTTCTGCTCTCCGAAACTGCTTTCATGCCAGAAACAGAGATATTCCTGAGGATGTAAAACAGAGAGTGATTTGGAAAGGGGAGTCCACGTTCCGGGAATTCTTGGTGCTAACATAGGAAACCCATTTTAACCCTCCCTGTGATGTTAACCCCTGGGGAACCTTGAGCACGTTGTTTTCGTGCTGGTTTTGGGGGCCCACCCGGCTATGCTCAGGCCTCACTCCTGGAGGTGCTTGATGCTTGTATTCGAACCAGGGCTGGCCACATGCAAGGCCAGCACCTTGACCCCTTGACCACCCTCTGGCCCACCCTGTCATTTCAGTCCCATGGAATGCAGCGGTTGGATGCCATTGGGTGGTCTCTGCTCCCTCTGAACTGCCCTGAATTTGCCTTGCGGGCAGGCAGGGACAAAGGCAGAATAATTACTGCTTTGGGCATAAAAGCTCCCCAGCAAGGGTCATCTCCACCAAAGAAGGGCAGATATTTTTTTTTCTCTCTTCCAGTTTTGTTTTGGGGCCATATGGGGCGTTGCTCAGGGCTTACTCCTAGCTCTGCACTCAGGGACTTGGGGGGCCCTCTGGGATGCTGGGGATTGAACCTGGGTCTGCTGCATGCAAAGGAAGTGCCCTTCCACTGTGCTATAGCTCTGGTGCCCCGAAGGGCAGATTTGAAAGCAAAAGCGTGTCCTCATTCTGCTTTCACTTTTTTTACCCAGTGCTTCCTGCTACTTACCTTTTCCTTGGGGTTGTGTTTCCCGGCGTGAGAGAAAAGTTCATGGCATCAGAGAAAGAGGGATGGTGCCAGGACTGTTTCCAAGACACGGAGGGTTTGTTTCTTCATCTCTACATTTTCCCCCTCCTGGTTTTTGTTTAGGCCCCCAAGCAAGAACTATCCTTATGCAATCAAGTCTGCCGCAGGCCCAGCTGGCTTCAATATGGTAAGGCGGGTTTGTGGCAAGTGGGAACTTTCTCTCTGCTGTTGGTGTGGCCTCGAGAGTCTTGGTGATTGTTTGTTAACGAATTGGATGTTGATGGGACTGTTTGGAGTAGGATCATTTGTCCCTGATGTGAATGCATGGCAAATGCTTCCTTGGCCACCAGTTGTGATTGCCTCTCATCCCATCCCCCACCCTTTCTGCATCTGGGAAAGTACAGAAGCTCGCAGATGTGAATGTGATGATGCCGGGAACATTCTTAACACAGTTTCTGTGGTTCTTCCTGTCCAGTCCTGCTTTTTCTCTCCTCCTTCCCAGTTCAGGTCTCACACATGGTATGATTCGCATCTGCAAATATTTCAGTTCTTATCTCCCAAAGAGCCAGATATCCCCCTCTCCCCTCCCTACAGGACTGTCTAACGTGTCACTCCACCTGAAAGGGTTCGCCAGTGACCCTCTCACCAGGTTAACAGAGAGGGGCCTGGGCTCATAGCTTTTCTGTTGATGCTTTCAATCAGGACCAAAATCTTACTTGGAGACAATTGCTCACTGGAATTTAAGCCTCCTTGATCCTATAAATTCTCCCTTCTTTTGTCCTTAGCTTACTCACAAAACCAGTTCACTTGTCCTATACTTATTTCTTTTCTCCCTCCCCCCCACCCCCCACTGTTTTTTTCTTTGTGGTGCCAGAGATTGAATCCATGTCCTTTACATTCCAAGCATACGCCCTCGGGCTCAGCCCCTGACCCTGTCCTGGAGTTTCTGACACTGGAAATTTTTCTTTTTTTTTTGTTTCGTGGGTTTGGGGGATATGCCCTACCCTGAAGCACTCTGGGGCTATTCCCAGGTCTGTGCTCAGGAGTAACCCCTGGTCATTCTCACGGGACCATCTGTGTGGTGCCCAGAATCTAACCAAGACTGGACTTTAAACCCTGGACAAGCTCTCGGACCCTTGTACTGTAATTTGGGGAGGGGCTGGGGGCTTGGAGCCATTCCCAACTATGCTCAGGACTTAACTCCTGGCTCTGCACTCAGTATCACTCCTGGTGGTGCTGGGGGAGGGGGGGGGCAAGGTCTGTGAGGGATGTTTGGCGATCTGCCCTCTGGGCAACCCCTCTAGCCCTGCACACTGTCACTGCATGCCTGGGGCAATGACTCTCTTTGGTATGCACCATTCCGTAGCCTCATCACTGCTGACATTTCAGATTCTGGTCATTCTCTGTTGCCGGGACCTGCCCAGTGCATAGTGGTTAGTACTGTCGCTCCCCGGTCCCCCTCAGCTGCCAGTAGCACCACCCCTACTCAGGGGTGTCCTAGGGGCCCCAAACCAGTCTTCCCTGGTTGAGAACCACACTCATCAGATTCCGGTTGAGAACCACACTCATCAGATTCAGGCTGGATGGATCGTTCTGCCTTAGGAGACCCATGTCTGTCTGTCCTATGATGGTTTTCACTAGCTCTGGACAGGGAGGCTGTGTTCTTTAGGATGTCTGGCGCCCAAACCACATCTGGCACCTAAGCACATGAGCCATTGATTTTCTTTTGGCTTTGAGGCCACACCCGGCTCTGCTCAGGGCTTAGTCCTGGCCCTGTGCTCTGCACGTGGGAATCCCTCCCGGTGGTGCCTGGGGGGGCCATGTGGGGTGCTGAGGCTCAAACCCGGGTTGGCGGCATGTAGGGTAAGCACCCAACCCATTGTACTATCCACGTTTTTGTTTTGTTTTGTTTGGGGCCAGACCTGGTGGTGCTCAGAGTTGTAAGGCGCCCTGCCTGCTGTCCTCTCGCTCCGGCCTTTGGTGACAATTTTTAGATGAATAATTCTGTATCAGGAGACCAGCCTAATTAACTGCCAGCCCGCTTCCCACGCTGCCGGGTTTTAGATACAAACTTCAGAGGGCCCGGTACTGCTGTGACACAGCCAGGCTTAAAGAAGCCTGGAGAGAAGGGCGCTGGCCTTGCATGAGGCCAACCTGGACTCCATCCCTGGCACCCCAGGGGTTCCCCCGAGCCCACCAAGAGTGATCCCTGAGCACAGAGCAAGGAGTCGACTCTGAGCACAGCTGGGTGTAGCCTCTGAACAAAACAAAATTGTCACTTCAAACAAGCACCCTATCCACTGTACTACGGCTCTGCCCCCCCCTCCCCGGCCTTTTTTTGTCAAGGAAGTTGCATTGTTAAAAAAAAAAAAAACACAAAATAAATCCCACCACACACGGTCACACCCAAGCGTGTTCAGTGGCTACTGACCTGCTGCTGTGATGAAAGAGCATGTGGCAGAGACTCTGCCCCGAGAAGCTGGAGTGTTTACCCTCTGACCCAGCCGTCGGCCGAGCACAGAGTCGAAAGGTGCCCCAGCCGTGAGACGTTTCAGGGGCTCTGCAGAGTGTCGTGTAACCAGAGTTGGCATTGACTGAGCATGCAGCCCCGTCCCAACACCACCCCTTTCGCCTTGGCCAGAGCCATGTGGAAATAGGCGCTCGATTTCCTCTGTCAGCTGAGGCCCGGGCACTGCCACGAGGCCAGCATCCGCAGGAGAACCCTGTGCGTGGCGAGCACCAGGTCACGTGCCCCCTTTCATTGCCCAGGAACCTCTCCGACATCGACCAGGACGGGAAGCTCACGGCCGAAGAGTTCATCCTGGCCATGCACCTCATCGACGTGGCCATGTCGGGCCAGCCTCTGCCCCCCGCCCTGCCCCCAGAATACATCCCACCTTCCTTCCGGTAAGGGACAGGGGGGAACTGTGTCAGTTCCACACTCAGCTTTGACTGTGTGGCTGTGTGGAATCTTTTTTGGAGAATGATGGGAGAGTGAGAGGTCAGGCCACACACAGTGGTGCTCAGGAACTGTTTCCTGGCTCTGTGCTCAGGGGTGATCCCTGGCAGTGCTCCGGGGACCATGTGCCGGGCTGGGAAAAGATCCAGAGTAAGTGGGGGTGCGGGACTGTCCCTCTGGCTCAGGGTGAGTAGCTTCACGGTCGATTTTATTCTCTGCCCGAAGCCGAAACATCCACGAAAGCAAGAAAAACCCTTCCTAGCTAGGTCCCGGGTTAATCCTATCTTGTTCTGTGAAGTGCTTAACACGTGCAGAGCAGCCAAATGAAAGACCAAAAGAGTGGTGATTTGGGGAACCATCGACATCATGAAAACTCACCCCAGATTTTAGCCATGAGCATGAGACTATTTGGGCCTGTTGGCAGGCAGTGAAGCATGGGGTTAGGTCTCTGTGTGAGTCCCAGGTGTCCACGCTCAATGGAGAGGTAACAGGATGCTGGCCGTACTCAGGTCACGATGGGGCGGTGGTCACAGATGATCAGTCTCATTGGTTTCCAGTACGGTCTTGGGGATGCTAATGGGGCCGGCCAAGGTCCAGCAGGGCGAAGTCCCACCCAGTCCACTGACAGAAGGTGAAAGAAATATACTTAATTTTGTTTTATTTTTTCGGGCCATCCCCAGCAATGCCCAGGTGGTTTCTCCTGGCTCTCTGCATTCAGTAATCACTCTAGACAGGACTTGGGGGACTGGCCAGGAGTGACCCCTGAGCATAGCGGGTATGGCCCAAAGTAAAAAAGTAAAGAGAAGCAGTGCCTTGTTAACAGAGAAGGCCACATCTTTGTCTTTCCCTTGCTGTAAATGCTGATTGCCTTATGGTACAGTGTGGTCTTGAGGATTCCTTATTTTGGGGGGTGGGGTGTGAGTTGGGGTTGAGGGGCCACGCTCACGGGTGCTGTGTAGCTACCCCCTGACTCCGCGCTCAGGGCTTGTTCCCAGCGGTGGTGCTGGCGGTTATGGGCAGCGAGGAGCACCGGCCCAGCCCCCTTTGACTCCTTTCCCCACTCACCGCTCAGTGCTCCCTCGACAGCTCACGGGAATCTCCCCTTTGCAGGAGAGTCCGCTCTGGCAGTGGGGTGTCGGTCGTCAGCTCTGGCTCCGTGGACCAGCGACTGCCGGAGGAACCTGCGCTGGAGGATGAACAGCAGCAGCTGGAAAAGAAACTGCCGGGTAAGTGCGCGGCTCTCGGCTCTGACTCTGGCGGCCAGACTTCCGGGAGTGCCCTGGGACTTGGCCATTTCTCTGCCTGCCAATGACCCACTTTGGGGGCTGGGTGGCTGGGGTGGGGTAGAGGGACCACCCAGCAGTAGTTGCCCAACTCTGCAGTCCTGAGGGATCCGGTCATGAGGCGTCGTTGCTGGGGCCAGGCCGCGCGGTGCTGCCGTGTCCTTCCCGAGTTCCCCAAGCCCCCCCACCACTCAGTGCTGAAGGTGGACCCCAGGTTTGAGGCTTGTGCTCTGCCCTCCCTGTTGAGGGCTCTCTCGGCCCTGAAATTCATAATTTCGCCAGTCTCCTTATTCTGGGTTTGGGGCCCACAGCCAGCTGTGCTCAGGGCTCACTCCTGGCTCAGTGCTCAGTGATCGATCACTCCTAGCAGGGCTCACAGGGGACCCTCTGGGGTGCCAGGGATTGAACCTGGGTGCGCTGCATGCAAGGCAGCTGCAATCCCCGCTGTATTCTCTCTCCGGCCCTGAAATCGATCATTTGAAATGGTGTGGTTGCTGCGACTGGCCGGTCAGGGCCTGCCTGGGTCATCTGGGTGGCCACAACCGCTGGCTTGTATCTCTGGCTTCCGGAGGCTGGGAAGGCTGAGGCACAGGCCTGTCCGGTGCAGCCTCCCTATTTGGTTGCAGACCCCCTGTGCCCTCACCTGGCCTTCCCCGGGGTAGCCAGGGAGAGGGGACGTGCTCTCTTTACCCCAGAAGCCCAGTGGTCTTGTCATGGGGCTCACACCGTCATGCTCTTTTCTCTCTCTTTTTTGTTCTCACTTGGTGGTGCTCAGGGCTTACTCATGGCCCTGTGCTCAGAGATCACTGCTGTTATGCAGTGCCTGGGGTCAGTGGCTTGGAATACAGCCATCGTAACTCTGCGTTGTCTCCCCCTGCCTCGCTCTCTCTTTCTTTTCCTTGTTCTGGGGCTGCTCTGGGCCTCCGGGCCGCCCCTTGGGAACGTTCAAGCACCCCCGAGTAAGTGTCCTACCCGCTGCACTTACGCTCCAACCCCCAAGCATGTCATTCTTCCTAAGAGCTTCCTCTTGAGCTGTCGGACAGGCGGCCCAAGTCTGACAGATACCTCAAGGTGGAGGTGCGGCCAGCTGGGCTCAGTCCCCTGAGTGCAGAGTCAGGAGTAGCCCCTGCGCACTGCCGAGTGAAGTCCGACACCCCCCAGATAGATGCAGATTCGAGGCCACAGAAGAGGAGGGACAGAGGGACAAGGAAGGAAAGGGGTTGCCAGGCAGAGCTGCTGAGGAAAACCCTGCTAGAACTGACTCGGGGAAGGGGAAAGGGCGAGGGGGGTGGGGGGTTTGGGCATCAGCTCTGTCCACCAGGACACAGGCGGGAAGGGAGCCTGGGAAACTTTGAGCTTATATTGAATCCTCCACATGTAGGGGTCGGAGAGTCAGTTGAGGGATTAAGGCACCTGCCTTGCACAGTTGCCATCTGTAGTCCCATCCCTGGCACCCCATAAGGTCCCCCAAGCCCCGGCCAGGAGTGACCACCCCCAGTCACCACACCACTGCTGGGTGTCGCCCTAAAACCAAAAAGAAACTGCAAATCCCAATGCCCGAAAGAGGGCGGGGGGGGGGGGAGGGGGAGAGAGAGAGAGAGAGAGAGAGAGAGAGAGAGAGAGAGAGAGAGAGAGAGAGAGAAATTTCACAGGATGTGGCAGGAGGGAAACTGGGGATATTGGTGGTGGGAAATGTGTACTGGTGGAGGGACGGGTGTTGGAACACTGTATGCCTGAAACCCAGTCATGAACAGCCTTGTAATCTCACGGTGATTCAATTAAAAAAAAATTCAAAATAAAAAAGAAACAGGGCCGGAGGGGATGGTACAGCGGGTAGGACATTTTGCCTTGCACTTGGCCTATCTGGGTTCAGTCCCTGGCATCCCATATGTTCCCCCGTGCACTGCCAGGAGTATGTCCTGAGTGCAGAGCCAGGAGGAACCTCTGAGCATCGCTAGGTGTGACCCCAAAAAAAAAAAAGAAAGAAAGAAAGATACAACTGAAAGACTACGGATTTCATGCAGCCGCGCCAGGCGCTTGCGTGCCGCTTTGCAAAACCTTCTGGGTGTCTCCTTCCTCAGTCACCTTCGAGGACAAGAAGCGCGAGAACTTCGAGCGGGGCAACCTGGAGCTGGAGAAGCGGCGGCAGGCGCTCCTGGAGCAGCAGCGCAAGGAGCAGGAGCGCCTGGCGCAGCTCGAGCGCCAGGAGCAGGAGCGCAAGGAGCGCGAGCGCCAGGAGCAGGAGCGCAAGCGGCAGCTGGAGCTGGAGAAGCAGCTGGAGAAGCAGCGCGAGCTGGAGCGCCAGCGGGAGGAGGAGCGGCGGCGCGAGATGGAGCGGCGCGAGGTGAGTCGGGGCTGGGCAGGGGTACCGCAGGGGCGCTGCTCACTCGCATCCCCTGGCGGCGGAGCCATCGCACAGCAGGACCGGTGCCCGCCTTGCCCTCAGCGGACCTGGGTTCGATCCCCAGCACCGCCAGGAGTGAACCCTGAGTGCAGAGTCGGGAGTAAGGCTCAAACACAGCTCACAGCTTGGACGTGGCCCCAAAACAAAACAGAAAGGAAGGAGAAAGAATGGCCCTGTCCCAGGAACCCTGTTCACGTTCTGTACACTCTGTGTTGATGGCCATCCGCATACTGTAATTCTTTGATAGCTTTATACAGGTTTATAGGGTAGGGTTTGGGGCTTTTGTTTGTTTTTTCAACACTGTAATGGTATCATGATTGAGTATATTGTTCTGAGTCCCTCTCACACCCCCCTTTTTTGGTTTTTTTTTTCTTTTATTTTTTTTGGTGGGGGGAGGGTTCACACCCAGCGATGCTCAGGGATTACTCCTGGCTTTCACTTAGAATTACTCCTTTCGGTGCTTGGGGACCATATGGGATGCTGGGGATCGAACTTGGGTCGGCCACATGCAAGGCAAATGCCCTACCCGCTGTACTATCACTCCACCTCTTTACAATCCCCGCTTTTTGGGCCACTTTTTAAAAGTATGTTTTAGGGGAGGCTGAGGATAGTGCAGTAGGTGGGCTCTTGCCTTGCACACGACCCACCCAGGTTTACCCTCCCATATACTACACCTGGTCTCCAGAGCCCAGTAGGAGTGAGCCCTGAGTGCAGAGCTGGGAGTAAGCCCTGAGCACCGCCAACTGTGACCCCAAAACAAAAGCATCAAAAACAACTAAAATGTTTTGGGGCCCCAAGAGATAGTTCGCTGGGTAGGGCACTTGCCTTGCACATTGCCTTGCACATTGCGGACCCGGGTATAATTCCAGCACCCTGTATTCCCCTGAGCACTGCTGGTGTGGCCTCAAACCAAATAAATAACAAAAAAGAACAATATGTCTTGGGATCACGAGGCCTTAATTTGATCCCAGGCACATTCAATTAGGACCATCTAAGAAGTTGCTATTTTTCCGGAGGAAAGGCCCCACCCGACTCTTGTGTGCCGGTGGTAGCTCTGTGAGAGGCAGGAGAAGTCCTTGTTTCCTGATAAATTCGGGAGATTCGTAGCCTGGCCTACGGTTTAAAATTTCGAAAATATTTTTTGTTTTACTTAATTTTCTGTGGTACAAGTACTCGAACCCTGGACCTCAGACTGCAGATATGTCTGTCCCACTAGTCTAATATATATTAGCCCCTGTCCTCCTAGTTAGATTCTGTTGTCTAGAATGGACCAGGGAGAATAGGCCTTCCCTTCTTCCCTGTTAACACATCATCAGTTTAGGTGTTGATTGGGGTTCATCAGCTGACTGTGACACTCAGGCCTCGCTAGTCCCTTAGGGGGTAGTGGCCTGACTTGGTGGGGTGGGGATGGTCCCATGCAGGGAGGGGTAGGGGAGCCTGTCACCCTGAGGTCATCAGAATTCCTGTGAGAAATGCTGACCTTGCCCAGAAGGAGAACCTTCTGTGGTCATGAGGAAGCAAATGTTTGTGGAACTAGGAACCACAAACTTAAAACTTGGAGTAGACTTTCTCATTTGGTAGTGGAATTAGTAATTCATTATTTGTTTGATGGCAGAAAAAAAAATTGCGGGATAGGGTGTTTGGTTTAGTTTTGCTAGGCTCAGGAATTTACTTTTTTGGGGGTCACAGCCAGCAGTGCTCAGGTCTTAATCCTGATCCTCTGCTTAGGGGTCCCTCTGTGGTGCTGGAGATCGAACCCAGGTCGGTTGTATGCAAGGCAAGTGCCCAACCCTCGGTACCATCGCTCCTGCCCGGCTCAAGACATTTTTTTTTCCTTGTAGGAGTCAGGTGAAAAGAAAGCAGTTTTATAAAACACTTTGATTTTTGTTGTTGTTGTTGTTTTGGGGGCCACACCTGACTACTTGGGGGACCATGTAGTGCTGGGGATCCTGCTTGCAGAGGCTGCGCCCAGCCCTTTGGCCTGTCTCTCAGGCCCGGATTTACATTCTTGAAGGCATGAAGAATCAGATTTCTGTCGTGGAGCAGTCTGTTCTCCAAGTAACCACAAAAGAGCCTTGTCTAAATATTGCTCCCCATAGCACTACTGTATGTATGTGGTGTGTGTGTATGTATGTACTTTTATATATATATATTGCTTTTTTAATATTATGGTTTCTTATATTGATTAATTTTTATTTAATTACTTGTTTTTTGGGGGGGGTCATACCAGGCGATGCACAGGGGTCAATCCTGTCTCTGCTCTCAGGAATTACTCCTGGCAGTGCTGGGGGACCTTATGGGATGCTGGGGATCGAACCTGGGTCAGCTGCGTGCAATGCAAATGCCCTACCTGCTATCCTATCACTCCAGCCCCTCTTGTTTAATACTGTTTTTTTGGGTAATTTTTTTGTTTTGTTTTGTTTTGTTTTTTAATTTTTGGGGTTTGTTTTCTGGCCCACACCCAGTGGAGTCAGGCCTTACTCCTGGCTCTATAGTCAGGGATCATTCTTGTCAGGACTTGGGGAATCCTCTGAGGTGCTAAGGATTGAACCAAAGTAAGCTACATGCAAGGCAAGCACTCTCCCCCCTCTATTCTCTCTCCTGCCAAATTAACAATTTGGGTTTTTTTTGTGTGTTTTGGGGCCACACCCAGTGGTGCTCTGGGCTTATTCCTGGCTCTGCACTCACTTATGACTCTTGGCAGAGTGCCATGGATCAAACCCAGGCCAGCCACGTGCAAGGCAAGTACCTTACCACTGAACTGTTGCTTCAGTCCCGAATCCTTCCCTCTTAAAGAAGACTTCTTGGATCTTACGTTAATTGAAAACCCTCATAGCGAGCATCAGCATGGAAAGATTTGTATTTCATTGTCGGTGTCAGGGATTGAGACCAGGTTTTCCTCCATGGGAAGGATGTGCTTCTGCCACCAAGCCGCGTCCCGGGCCCCCAACTGACAAGGCACTAAGTGATCTGTATGTCCCCCAGGCAGCAAAGCGAGAGCTCGAACGGCAAAGGCAGCTGGAGTGGGAGCGGAACCGAAGGCAAGAACTCTTAACTCAGAGGAACAAAGAGCAGGAGGACATCGTTGTGCTGAAAGCCAAGAAAAAGACGCTGGAATTCGAACTGGAGGCTCTTGTGAGTAGAGGTCACTGATGCCCTGGGCGGGCGCAGAGACACGGCCAGGCAGAGCTGTCACCCCTCTCTCTCTCTCTCTCTTCTGTTCCAAGAACGATAAGAAACACCAGCTCGAAGGGAAGCTCCAGGACATCCGGTGTCGACTGACCACCCAAAGGCAAGACATCGAGAGCACCAACAAGTCTCGGGAGCTGAGGATCGCCGAGATCACCCACCTCCAGCAGCAATTACAGGTCAGCGCGGGTGTCCGTCCCTCGGAGCAAGCCGGCTGGCAGGTTTTGCTCTCATTGATGGATGGCGTTTATTCACTCAACAGACGTTGTATGTCTGCCATGTCCGGGAGCTGGAAAACCAGGATGAGTAGGACAGATGAGGTCCGGCCTGGAAAGCGGGCTGTCAGGTTAGCCGGCCCCGCCCATGCTGAGGACTGGGGTGTACCTGGCCTGGCGCTCCTGTGGGCACTGTGTGTCCGTCAGTGACCGCTAGAGATGAAACCCTTCCTTTCTGGAACTTAACTTTTTGTTTGTTTGTTTGTTTGTTTGGGGTATCACTGAGTGTGCTCATGGATCATTCCTGACCCTATGGGGTGCCAGGGATTGAACCCAGGTCAGCTGCGTGCAAGCTAGCACCTTCCCCATTGTCCTACCTCCACAGTCCCACCAGAGCTTACCTTTGTTTGCTGGGGAAACAGATACTGACAAAACCAGGCAAGTGTGAGTCAGAGTGATAGGACAGCAGGAAGGGTGTTCGCCTTGCACGCAGCCGACATGAGTTCAATCCCCGGCACCCCATATGGTCCCCCTGAGGCCTACCAGGGGTGATCCCTGAGCACAGAGCCAGGAGTAACACCTGAACATCGCCGAGTGTGGCCCAAAAACAAAACAGAAAATTCCGATCAAGTGTGTTCACCACTTGATGCTTTTCGGAGAATGGGAGAGGGAGGAACGGCCGCCGTGGACCTAAGGAACCTATGATTTCATCAAAGACACTGCAGCTTTGTTGATTTAGGGAGGCATTGAGCAGAGACTTGAAATAGCTTGTAGCCATACCATGTGGATTTATGGCAGACAAAGTCCCAGAGGTACGGAAGCAGCAACTGAGCCCACCAGCCAGTCAGTCTCTGGGCTTCCCATGGTAGCATGAAGACCAACCACTCTGCTGGATCACCCTAGACCTGAACTCCACTCACGGCATGAACACCATCAGGAAATGCTGTGATGTGTGTGTCAGGTGGGGGCACAGAGATACGCATATAGAGAATAGATGACGACTCAGTGGGGTTCTTTCATTTGATGACCTGCCTGTTAGAATATCCCCAGCTTTGTTTTCAAGTGTTCTGGGGTGAAGGCATCGAAGTTATTGAGGTACCATTTTGCAAATCATTATGAGAGATGATTTCGGTGAGGGGTTGGTGGGGGGTGTGGGGTAGGCGGTGTTTAGGGGTGTCAGGAGGCCCAGATCTCTCTCAGCCAGGTGAGAATTTGGTGGTTCAGCGTAAGGACCCAAGAATGCGTCTCTGCTCAGACCTACTTGTGGTTGTGGGGGCCTCCAGGTCTGGAGCTGGTGATGCCCAGGAGACCGTGTGAACTGGGGTCAGCTGCACCCAAGGCAAGTGCCTGAACCCCTGACTGTCTCTCTGCCCCAAAGATGATCAGGCTTTTAACATTGTGACTTTTAAAAAATATTCCAGTTTTATTTCCTGTCCTTTCCCTTTGGCGTTGCAGTGAACCCGGCTCACAGGTGTGGGCGGGGATGCTCCGCAGCCTGCCCCCTGTTGGGGTATCCCGGGCGGGCTCCCGGCCTCACACTTGCAAGTGTCTGGATATTGTGGGTTTTACCGCTGTTTTTCCCTCCTGTTTTTCAGGTTTACCATATCACGGGGTGACTAATATTTCTATGATTTCTCCCTTTTGCCTGTTGGTTGATGAACAGGATTTCAGTTTGGGGCATTTAAATATTCTGGGGGGAGAAATCTCCCCAGCAGTTTTTTGAGATCCCGGGAGGAAGGTGGGGGGCAGGGGTCTTGCCTGGTGCTGTTCTGTCTGGCCTTGTGGATCTGATGGTTCTTTTGTTTGTGGACCACACATGGCGGTGCTCAGGGCTTACTCCTGACTCTGGGCTCAGGGATCACTCCTGGCAGGACTTGGGGATCGAACCTAGGCTAGCCACATGCAAGGCAAGCACCCTCCCCGCTGTTCTGGCCAGCACGTACTGTTGGCATCCTTTTGGATGTGGGTATTTCCTGTGAGTGGGGGCGGCCTTTCACGTAGCTTTGCATCTGGATTTCTCGGAAGCCCCAAGGATGCCTCATCCCGTCTGTGTGCTGGCCCAGCCCTCTCCTGTGTGTGTGTTCTTTCATGAACAGACCTTTTGTGTGGGTTTGATGGGGTCATTTCTCTCCTTGGGAGCGTATGCTCATAACAAGTCCTTTGTCTGGTGTCAGTTCTATAAACACTTTCACCAGACTGCGGCTTGGAATATGTTCCTGTAGATTTCTTGGATTTCCTGTCAGTTCTGTCAAAAGCCCTGTCCTAATAAACTCAGATGTTTATGGGCTTTTTTTTTTTTTTTTGGTGGAGGGGCGGTGTTTGGATGTTTGATGCTCAGCTACTACTGATTCCAAGTTCAGGGATCACTCCTGGTAGTGCCAGAGGACCATATGGGGTGCCGGGGATCAAGCTGGAGATCTTTTTATTTGTCTTGAGGCCACACCTGGCTCTGTGCTCCAGGATATCTCCTGGCAAGGCTCGAGGGACCTTATTGGATGCTGGGGATCAAACAAACCAGGGTTAGCTATTTGCAAGGCAAGCACCCTCCCTGCTGTACTATCACTCGGGCTCCCTGGAGACTCTTTGTTTTTCAAATCAAGATAAATTAATATAAGGTAAAAATGAAAACTGAAGAAATATTCCTTAATATACTTAATATACTGGCAGACTATCATCTTACTGAAAGCAGAAACCAGACCAGGTAATTTCCACTGAACGTCAGCAAATATAGTGCCTGACAAGTTCCCCAGGTAAAAGCCCTAGTCCCTTCAACGGCGTGATTTTCTTCTTAACATCGACTGAAAAAGAGTCATGGCTGTTTAAAATTGTAACTATGCTGAGTGGTGGAAATGACTTCCATGACAATTCTCAGGGTTGAAAAATGTGTTTGGGGGCTGGAGTGATAGTATCGCGAGTAGGGCATTGGCGTTGCACACAGCCGACCCAGCTTCAATCCCCGGCATCCCATAAGGTCCCCTGAGTGCAGAGCCAGGAGTAACCCCTGAGCATTGCCAGGTGTGATCCAAAGAGCCAATTAAAAAAAGAAAAGTGTGTCTGGGAGGGCCACAGAAATGTGAGTATAACAGGTCAGGTATTTGCCTTGCCCTTGGCAGACCTGAGTTTGATCCCCTGTACCCGATAGGTTCCCCGGAGCATAGCCAAGAGTGATTGCTGAGCACAGAGCCAGGAGTCAACCCTGAGCACTCTGGGTTGTGACCACAAAACTAAAGATTACAAGATAGTAATTTGGGGACTGGGAGGTAATACAGCAGTGAGGGCATGTGCCTCATCTGGGCTCCATTTCCACCATCACGTGGTTCCCTGAGCAGGATGGCCTGGGGACACCCCCTCCCCCCCACCGCCCCCCGCACCGTATTATATGAGCACATCACATCTTAAAACCCTTGCATTGATCTGCAGGCCCAGCTGACCATGAATCGCCAGTGGGGTCTCCTGAACACTGCTCACCACCCTCCTCCCCTCAAAGACACAAAATAAAAACCATTTTGATTTTTGTTTCCTAATTCAGGTATACGGTAACTGTCACCTTGGCCCCGGGGCCATCAAGGTGCAGAACAGAATAGTCCCACTGAGTAGTCTGAGTCACTTAGTCCCTTTCAAAGCCTCGCCCCCCCACAGACATCAGTCCCTGGCCTCCGAGGGATGCAGCACTTGGTTCTCCTGGCTGAGCTGTGCTGACGGCACTTGTGTCAGGCTCACGGATGGACAAAAATGGACAGCACCAAGCCAGCTCCGTCTTCACGTTCTTCCAGGGGAACAAATGGATCTGGCAATTGGTTCTCTCGTGGGAGCACTAGAAGTGCCCCAAGCATGAGATGTGGCTCCTCTCTCGAGCCGGACTTCAAGACTCTTCCTGACGATCGATCCCATGTTGCCCAAGAAACACATCACGGGATTTCACATTAAAAATGTTTTTTTGTTTGGCTCTGGGGGCCACCCCTGGCAGTGGGTGCTTAGGGCTTGCTCCTGCTTCTGTGCTCAGGGATCACTCCCAGGGGTGCTCAGGGGATCCTCTCTGTTGCCAGGTATTGAACCCGGGTCAGCTGCGTGCAAGCTGCCTCTCCCACTGAACTATCTCATCTTTGGTCATGGGGCATTCAAAAACTGTTGACAGATTTTTTTGGTGATTCCCCGTTGTGACCCTCCCTCCCTATAGGGGGTTACAACCCATAGCTTAAGAAGCTCTGGAGGTGGGCTAGATTGATAGCACAGTGGGTAAGGTGTTTGCCTTGCAAGCAGCCGACCTGGGTTCGATTCCCAGCATCTCATATGGTCCGCCGAGCATCGCCAGGAGTAATTCCTGAGTGCAGAGCCAGGAGGAACCCCTGCACATCACCAGTTGTGACCCAAAACGTAAAAAAAAAAGAAGCAGCAGCAGCAGCAGCAGCTCTGGAGGGTTGAGGAGGAGATGAGAAGGCAGGAAGCAATGACTCTCCACTCCTCCTCCCTTTCATTTCATTGTTCATGTATTTTTATTTGGGGGCCACACCTGGCAGTGCTCAGGGCTTCCTCCTTCCTCCTAAAGTTGCTCAGGGGACCCTGTGGGGTGCCGGGGATGGAACCCAAATTGACTCTGTTGCAAGGCAAGCACCCTTCCTGCTATACTCCCTCACTGCTCCCCTCACTGTCCCCCGCCCCCCTTCTCTCCTAGGAGTCCCAGCAGATGCTCGGGAGACTCATTCCGGAAAAGCAGATACTCAACGACCAGTTGAAGCAAGTCCAGCAGAACAGTCTGCACCGTAGGTGTTGGCGTCCTTCCCTCTGGGGTCATAGAGGTGGGGGGGCGCTGTGTTGCTTGCAGGAGGCAGGGTGTGGACCCCTAACTGTGCTGCTGGCTGGGTAGCACTCCCTCAGTCATGCTTGCTCAGGTGTTTGCTGAAGGGTTGCTCCAATTTCCTTCAGTGCTCACATGCGCATCTTTGGTGTTTTGGTGCTCACCAGAGGTTGCCCCTGCAGTGCTTAGGCACACATGGTGCCGGTGTCACCAGAAGTCACTTGTGGTGCCGGGAACACCTCAGCAGAGCCACTAGGCTCGCTCTAAAGGAGCATACAGTGCCACCGGGGACCAAACTCAGGATCTCATGCTCGCCACTGAGCTGTCTCCAGCCCCCAGTGTTTTCCTTTTAAAGTTGTCCTTTTCTTTTTTTTTCCCCTTTGGTTTTGGGGCCATATCCGGCGATCTCAGGAGTTACTTCTGGCTCTGCACTCAAGAATTACTCCTGGCGGTGCTCAGGGAATCATGGGATGCTGGGGATCAAACCTGGGTTGATCCAGTGCAAAGCAGGCGCCCTCCCTGCTGTGCTGTCGCTCTCACCGATGACCTTTTTTCACATTTAATCCAAAAATGTTCTATGAAATGAGTCTTCCGTGCCACCATTCTGCCTCGGTGTCAACTTCTTCCCTTGCTCTTCCTCTCTCGCTCCCTAAACAGGGGATTCCCTCCTCACACTCAAAAGAGCACTAGAAGCCAAGGAGCTCATCAGGCAGCAGCTCCGAGACCAGCTGGACGACGTGGAGAAGGAAACAAGATCCAAACTCCAGGAGATCGATATTTTCAACAACCAGCTGAAGGTACCTCCTCTTCCTGGGCGTGGTCTCTGGCGGGCTCTGCCCTTTGATTTTTCCCCTTGATATTTAATCCAGGGCAGAGAAATGGATGAGGGTAGTTTAAAACCACCACCAGTGAAGCCTCTTCCCTTCTGGGGGAACATGATCTGCTCTACCGAGCACCTTGCTCCTTTCCACGATTAGGAGTGAACATCTCTGACCCAGGTATTCCACACACTCACATCCCTTTTTTTTTATCTTTTTGTGTCACACCCGGTGATGCACAGGGGAATTATTCCTGGCGGTGCTGGGGGACCATATGGGATGCTGGGAATCGATCCTGGGTCAGCCGTATGCAAGGCAAACGCCCTACCAGCTGTGATATCGCTCCAGCCCCATGCTCACGTCTTTAGTCCCGACTGCACATTCACACCAGCCCGTTTCTGTGTCCTCTGAGCTGAATTGCAGCAGCACGTCTCCTTCTGGTGTGTCTTCCTGGAAAGGAATGAATTGTCTTCTTTCTGAAATCCACACGTTTTCTGCCACTTCTAGCCTTTTTAAGATTCTGCTTGGACGTTGGTCTATAATTTACAGCCCCGTGGTTTTAAATGTTGTTATTGTCCAGTAGAGATGGCTTGGTCACAGGGCAGAAGCGTAGGGGTGGTGTCATAGATCCTCAGGAAAATTCTGAAAACAACAGAGCACTCGGAGAACCAAAAAGTAGCTGGATTACAGCTTTTTCAGAATTGGTCCTTTTGACTAACAGCTTTATCATCTTAAAAAATGATAAACTCTCATCTTAAAATTAGGCCAGAATGCAGATGGGTTTTTGCCTAACACCATATCACCAAACGCATTAGGTTTAAATAGATTTTAGAATTTTTATCCATTGTGTTCTTCAAAGAACTGATTTTTTTTTCTTTTTTCCACTTTCCCTTCCCCAGCTAGTCAGTTTTCTTTTATTTTCAGCTCAGAGTCCTTTAAACTTGATTCTGGCTGACTTCACTTTTGACATTAGGAAAAAGTAAAATTCCAGTTTCTTGAAACAGAAAAGCTCGGAAGCATAGTTGCATACTTGAGATTTTTCAGTGAATTGAGATTCTCGGCCAGATCGTCTGGACAGCTTGGTTTTCAGAGCTTTGTGCTGGTGTGGTTTTGTTTTAAGGGTAATAAAAGTTTTCTCATTTGTAAAATTCCAAGAAAATGCTCTTAGGGAAAATATTGTTAGAGCCAAGTGGTGTTTTTATTTTTCTTTTACAGACACTTAGTTTTTCTTTTTCCTCATTAAATTTTTTTTAACTTTATTCAAACACCACGATTTACAAAATTGTTCACAATGCAATTGGAATTCAGTATTCCAGTCCCACCACCAATGTGCTCTTCCCTACACCACTGTCCCCAGTTTCCCGCCTCACCCCTTAGCAGACACAGAAAGCAGCCAGCCTCCCCACTGTGCTGTTGTCGTTACTTAATATTGCTTATTCCATCACATATCCCGGGGTGCTCTTGCTGAAGTCCTGGCCTCAGGATTCACTGAGCTTTTAGATGTGAACTGGGCCTTCTGGGTGATTGTTTTCACTCACTGGGCTTAGTGGGCTCCTTCTCAATTTTCCCCTCTAATTGTCCTGTTTCTCCTGGGCTGTCAGCTCTGTGAAGGTGGGGGGGGGGGGGGGGGACGGGGCTAAGAAGTGCCGTTATCTCTGACCTCCTTGAGGTCAGATCTGAGGTTGAGAGCCGGTTGGGGGTGGGTAGGTGGGTGGGTCACTGCCCATAATCTACTATCTTTCTGGCCCCAGGGCCCTATGCCTTTAGAATGGTGTTTTCCCCACTGTGGCCCATTTGGAGTTTCAGGGAAGTTGAGAAGCTCTGCTTTCGGGTGTCTCTGTGGTCCTTCTTCGCCTCTGACCCTCCTCTCAGGGCTGAGGCTCCTGTCTCCCCACAGGGGCCTGGCAGGCATGGGGGAATGAATGCCGTGCACTCAAAGTAAAGAGCTATGCTTTGTCACTGAGACTAGGGTCAAGGGGAGAACTCATTTCCTAACAACATGACGTCCATTTTTCTCTAGGAATGGTTTCCTTTTTATACAGGGGGGACTCCTGCCATAGGGGTGGTGCTCAGAGGTCCATGCTGTGTTGGGTGTGTGTGTGAGGGGGGGCCTCCTTTGTGCAAAGCCTGTGCACCCTCAGAACATCTCCCATTGGAGAAGATTCTTACTGAGGTCTTCCGGTTCCACAGCTCGGGCTCCCCAAGCTCGTCTGTGCCCCTGTTTCTTCTCTCTCTCTCTCTCTCTCTCTCTGTCACTCTGTCACTCTCTCTGTCACACTGTCTCTTTCTCTCCCTCTGTCATTCTCTCTTACTCTGTCTCTGTCACTCTCTGTCTCTGTCATCTCTCTCTCTCTCTCTCTCTCTCTCTCTCTCTCTCTCTCTCTCTCTCAGACACGCACACACTCCTCTAAGCATTTGTCATGGAATCACTGCCAATTTGTGCTACTTGGCGTGGACTTCCTACTTGGCTGAATTTTGATACGCTATTTACACGTATTTAGAAATAATTTTAGATTTAGAGCTCATTCTCTTTAAAATTATTTTTATCTTGCATTGGTTTATGAAGTTATAAAGGTATTTATGATTGAGTGATGTTATAAAGATATCTGTGATTGAGTTTTAGATGTGCAGTGTTGCAGCAGCCGTCTCTTCACCAGTGTCCATGACCCTCCACTGATGTCCCCAGTTTCCCTCCTGCCCCTGGCGCCCCCCCCCCCCCCCAGCCTGCCTCTGGGCAGGCACTTTCCCTCCCCGACTGTCCTATTGTTCCCTTCCCTGACTTATCCCCCCCAACCCCCAGTGGCAAGCTTGTTCCTGAAAACGGCTCCTCCTGCTCTTTGTAGAAATCTTTGTAGAAAACTTAAACATGTTTTTATTTATTTTTAATTATTTGGGGGGTAACTTGGGCCACACCCACTACTGGCTCTGTACTCAGATCACTCCCGGTCAGGCTCGGGAGGCCATCTGGGTTGCTGGGGACTGAGCCCGGGTTGGCTGCGTGTAAGGCAAGTGCCATGCCCATTCTACTACTTCTCTGGCCTCTGGGTACGTTTTTAAACATTGGTATCAGCCACTTTTAGTGGTTTTTTTTTCTTTTAATTTATTTATTGTAAATAAGTTACAATTATTGTAGTATTGTCTTCCCGGTGTTCATCGATTTGCTCGATACCTCAGGTACTAGTAACGTCTCCATTGTGAGACCTGTTACTGTTTTTGGCATATCGGATACGTCACAGGTAGCTTGCCAGGCTTTGAATCACTTGCAGTAGAAAACAAACTGAGAACAGCTACAGATTCATGTTTGAATCTCGGTCATACAATGATCAAACATCTATCCCTTCACCAGTGCACATTTTCCACCACCAAATACCCCAGTATATCCCCCATCCCAACCAAACCCCTGCTCTCTCTCTCTCTCTCTCTCTCTCTCTCTCTCTCTGTCTCTCTCTTTCCTTTGATTACATTCGATATTTCGACACCAGTCCCGTCATTATTATTTGGAATTTTCCCGCAACACTCAGATCTGCTGAAAAGGCAATGTTAGAAAATTTGTTTTATATTGCTGGTTATGAATAACATATGATGTCTTGGAATTCTAAAATTTTAATAATTAGGGTCTGGAGAACTTTCTGCCAAGAGCTGCTCGGTTCTGAGATTCGTTTGTGTGTCTCTGGGATCATGACTGTTAAGAAGCTTAATAAGTATCTGGGGGTCTGTTCGTGGGTGTCATCTCAGGGTCCCGTCAGCGTAGGGGAGAATGGCCGGCTCCTCCCCTATCCCATGAGGCCTGGCTTTTTTCTTTACTTTTGCCCTGTACCTGGGTTTTCCAATGAGTTCTGGAAGATGGCGGCTGCCGGGATTCCTGGGGAACAGGTGGAGGAATGGCACCTGCTCCCATCTGGAGTGGCCCGGCGAAAGTGGCCTAATGCAAAGTCCAGAGGCATTTCTGCCAAGAGCCACGCGGTTCTAAGATTCGTTTGTGTATCTCTACAGTGTTATGGCTGCAGAGTCCTTCCTGCTTTTAATACGTCACAATCCGAATACGTTTTTGTGGTAATTCAGTGATAAGTGGAATACCATGTGCCTTGATTTGATTGTCTTACTTAATTTTCGTGTTTCCCTGCTGGGGCGTCTCAGCTCGGGACGCTGAGGATCGAGCCTGGGCCTCTGGTTGCAGAGCATCTGCTCAGCCGCCCCTTTAGTGGGTGCACCTCAGTTTGGATCCCTGTATGTTGTGAAAACTTCACGTAGCTTTCAGGTTTGTTAGTTTTGTTTTGTTTTTTGTTTTTTGTTTTTTGTTTTTTCTCCTGCTCATGTCCACCTACCTCCTGCCCCATTGCCATTGCCATTGACCGGCTTTCTGTGAGAGCTTTCCCTCTGTTTCACGGCCACTTGGTTAGGATTATTACCCTCTGAGTGAAAAAATAAAAGGCTGATGGACTGTGTGGGGCCTCCCTGAGTGGCTGGTGCTTTTTTTTTTTAAATATTATTTTCATAAGGTTGTTCACATTAATTGATTAAATTCAATATTTCAACACCAATCCCACCACCATTACACCTTCCCACCGCCATTATTTCGAATTTTGCCACCACCATTCAGGCCTGCCTGCCAGGGGCAGGTGTTAGATAACTTATTATGTGTTGCTTATTATGAATATCATGAGAGGTCGCGCTTCTGTAATTCTAAAATCTTAAATGGTTGGGGTCCAGAGACATCTCTGTAGGGAGCTAATCCATTTTGAGATTCATTTGGGAGTCTCTGGATCAAGGCTGTTGATGTGCTGAGATGGCGCCCGAAGGCAGATCGTGGGTGTGACAGCCAGGACCCCAACTGGGCTGGGAGACAGGAAGGGACAGTCTGGAGTCTTAGTCCCTGAACTGGCATACCTGGGTTTTTCTTCTGGAAGTTCATGGCCACCAGGGTTTCATCTAGGTTGGGTGGAGGGGGTGCACCCATTCCATCTGAGGTGAGGGGCAGT